GTGGAGGTAGAGGTGGAGGTGGAACCAGAGAGGTAGTCTAGGGACCCCAAGTGCCGGTACCCCGCAGTCATGCCACGGAACATGATCAGACCACGAACATACCCTGTACTCGGTGCACCAGCAGAGACAACGTCTGATTTTAAAGACATTGATGGCTTTGAACGATTCGTATCAATCAACCCGCAATCTTATTCTACTCTCAATTGTTTTACATCCAGTCAAGAAAAACTTATTCTCAAAGCACCATACGCACAATGGGTTCCACTCAGCTGCCTGTTGGCCAACTCCGAGCCTCACTCACTGCATCTCGTGTCCTTGTCCCTGGGGATGATGGTTACCAGAACAGCCTCCATAGATGGTCTGAAGCAGCAGAGAAACCAGCTGTAAGTTTTTCCAGCTCATTGCAACCCGCATTGTAGCCCAATTTGGCAGCAGGAGGCTCTAAGAAACAACCGCGTGCTAATTTGTGTCTTCTTTAAAGGCATACGTAGTCCAAGTGACCAATGCGCATGACGTGTCTAAGGCTTTGCAATTCGCACAGGAGCATAACCTCGATGTTGCTGTTGTCGGTGGAGGCCACTCTACATCTGGGTCTTCTTCCACAGATGGTGGACTAGTTGTGGACTTGACCAAGATGCGCAACGTTACCGTTGATTACGCCAACAACACTATTACGGCGCAGGGAGGCACCATCTGGGAGGATGTTGACTATGCTGCCGCCAAATACGGCCTGGCTACAGTCGGCGGCACTGTCAACCACACAGGAGTCGGAGGTCTCACCTTGGGTGGAGGCTACGGCTGGCTTACTGGAAAGTATGGATTGACTATCGATAACCTCCTTGCAGCTGAGGTTGTGCTCGCCGATGGCCGAATCGTGCAAACATCAGAATCGGAAAACCCTGATCTATTCTGGGCACTGAGAGGTGCCGGCCAGAGTTTTGGTGTTGCTACGAGTTTTACCTTCCGTGGGTACAAGCAGGAGAATTCCGTTTACGGCGGCTTGCTCGTCTTCAAGCCTGATGCCCTGGAGAAGGTGGTCGAGTTCGCAAATTGGTTGGTAAAGGCAACTGAAGGCGAGAGCGGCATGGTTGTCGGTATTGGTGCTCCCGCACCAGCTCGTAAAGTCAGTGTCCTGACAATCATCTTTTACAACGGAAATCAAGCCAAAGCCAGAGAATATTTTGCACCTCTCTTTGCCCTCGAGCCATTGGCCGATCTGACCCGGGAGATGCCCTACAGAGACGTCAATGCAATGCTCAACACTGTCTCGACTCACGGCGACCGGAAGACACAAAAGGGCTCAGCTTTCTCGGTACCCTTGTCGACATCTCTCGCCAGGACTCTTCTGACTGACTACACCGAGTTCATCAATGATGTTCCAGATGCTGTCAAGTCCATTATACTCATGGAGTTCTTTTCGCAGAGGCAGGTGAATAAAGTCTCACAAACGGCCATGTCATTTGCCAATCGTGGCGAGCATTACAATATCCTTTTCAGCACTCGCTGGGTCGGCGACAAAAACGACAAGATATGCCGAGATTGGACTCGTGCTATGGGCCAAAAGGTCAATGAGGAGTTGAAGAAGGATTTGACTGGGGATGGCGTTGGAGAATATGGAAATTATGACGGTACGTGACGTGCAGCCAGCTAAATTTTGACGTTGCTAACCACTTCACAATGCTTACAGGGGTTGCTACATCTCTAGCTCAGGAGATCTTTGGGGTAAACTACGATAAGGTACTAGCTTTGAAGAAGCAGTATGATCCCAAGAATGTGTTCAATAAGGGCGCTGGGAAGTTCTCTTTGTAATGCACTCTGGACTTTAAGTAGCTTTTAAATAGAAGAAAGAGAATTAAACACCTTCTGCTTGAATTTTTATTTTTAAGTCTGACAGCTTGGCAGTAAGTATATCAAGATTAGACTATAAAGTATTATTAGTATATACTACCGAGGCTATCTATAACTGCGTCTAAAGCTTAACTTTACACGCCGGAGTTATCTTATAATAATTACTATATCTAATATTAGCTTAAGCGTTAAATATAAGTAAAATATGCTCTACTTCACTCTGATTACTGTCTAATAAGTTCTGCGGCTCATTATCATAAATTGGAATCACTGGCGTTCTGACTACATCTTCGATCTAGATAGCCAGAGATAAACCAAACCACCCTGAAATTATGCAAGTCACTCAGCTAGCAAACATGATTTTGAACTGGCTTTGCTGATTCCAGAAAGTCCATTGAACTCCGAGCTTCTTGTCATGTTTCTGTCTCTATGACACCGCATTCGCCAATGCCACACATTTGTCGGAGTCCCAGGGACGGCAAACGCCGGCACGGATTTTCTGGTGGCGGGAATGGAGTCTAGTCAGGACCCACCCATCCAACCACCGGCAATCAATGCGAGTCCGAGCGCTTGTCGCGAGGGGACAGCAGACAGAAAACAATTGCTCGGAAGCCAAGTGGTGGAGCAGTTGGCTTGTGGTCTTGGACGGTGAGATGACTGGGAAGTGGCACAATGAAGCCAATGACGTGAGGGAGAATAAAAGCTCAATCTTTCGACTGGTGCATAAAGTCTCATCTGCTGCTTATATCCTGGTACAGTCTAGTGGCCACATCTGGGGTCCACCAATCGGCCAGCTAACTTTACGAACTTAAACTCCTACAAAGGCAGTACGCTCATATCGTTGAAAGTCAAAAGCTCGAGAAACAACATTCACAATCAAATATGTCACATGCAATAGTGCTTATTGGCACTCTACTCGCAACCTTTGTCATCTGGAGGTTTGTGCAGACATGGAGACGACCACCGTTTCCACCTGGCCCCAAAGGGCGTTATCCGTTTATGGGTATGACTTTCGACATGCCTAGCAAGAGGCCTTGGGAAACGTTTGGCGAATGGGCCAAGTGAGTATTCCCTCTTTCATGATTCAGGTAGATACTTGTTGTTACTAAACATGCGCGAAACAACAGAGAGTATGGCCCAATCATGTACTTCCGGACAGGCCTGCAACATGTTATAGTCATCAGCGACGCAAAAGTTTACCGGGAACTCGTTGGAATGCGGTAAGAGATATCCTTGATTCACAGATTGATAGGCGGGAATTGACCATCTCCACCCCAGAGCGAGCATTTATTCAGACCGCCCACCATCCGAAGTTGGTGATCTGATCAGTGGTGGAAGGCGGAGTGTCTTGATGCCATATGGTAATAGATGGCGGGTGATTTTCCCCCTCAACTCTGTTGTAGCACTCGAGTAGCTTACTTTGCAAAAAGATGGTTCGCCGGATTTTTACAAACGTCCTCACGGCTAAGAAGTGCGATGGATATGTCCCCTACCAAGAGCTCGAGTCCCTGGCCACCATCCATAATATGCTGCATGAACCGAAGGGGTACGCGCACGAACTTCATCGCTATGCCCTATCGGTTTCCCGAACAGTAGCTTTCGGCAAACGAGTGACTAGCTCCTCGAGCCAATTTGCGACCGATATCCGCGAAGTCATGGAGAATTTCAGCAAGGCTATGACACCAGGCAAATACCTTTTTGAGGCTGTACCAATGCTGCGGAAGCTCCCTCGTTTCGCGCAGCCGTGGCTCAAGGAACTGGAAAAGTTCAAGAACCTTGAGCTTTCCTTCGCCTTGACGTGTTACCGAGATGCAGTACGTCAGGCCGAACTCCATCCCGACAGACCGTGCATGGCGCGAGAAGTCAAGGCAGAGATGGAGAAAGCCCAAGAAGAAGATGAGGTTCAGGCCTCTAGCACCTGTATGGAGATTCTCGGGGCAGGGTCCGAGACAACCGCGAGTGCGCTCCATTTTACCATTCTGGCCCTGGCCACGCATCCAGAAGTGGTTGAGAAAGCCCATCAAGAGCTTGACCGCGTCATAGGACAAGACCGATTTCCCACCTGGGCGGATGAGCCAAATTTGCCATATATCAGGGCCATTATTAAGGAAAATCAGAGGTGGAGGTCCATTTCGCCAATGAGTAAGTCTGGCGGTGCTGAATACCGATACGTTCATGATGCTGATCAAGAAAAAGGCTTTCCTCATTACACGAGCAAGGATGACGTGTACAACGGATACTATATCCCAAAGAACTGCGTGGTCCGCGTCAATCACTGGTAAGTCAATAGCAGCCCAAGGCTTCATCTATATTCCTTTCTATTATTCCTCAAACTCGCCAAGCTCACAGAATGACAGGATGATGCACTCAAATGACGAAAGGTACTCGAACCCTGAGAAGTTCGACCCAGATCGCTTCATCGATCACACGCAATCAGCCGCAGCTTCAGCCAACGCAGTAGACGCTTCTGGGCGCGATCACTTTTCCTACGGAGGTGGGAAGCGCATATGTCCGGGCATCCACCTGGCGGAGCGAAGCCTATTCATGATGACGAGCCGAATGCTCCAGACATTCAAGTTCGGGCGTCCCCTAGACCCCAAATCAGGGACGCCCCGGGAGCTGACAGTGGACGACGTTGGCGTTAGTACAAGCCTAATCATGACACCGGGCTCTGACTTTGACGTGTCCTTCGAGGCAAGGAGTGAGAAGATAGGGCAGCTGTTAGAGAGGGAGTGGCTCGAAAAGGTTGCTCATCAGGGTGAGAGCTGGATGGACTGATGGAACTCGAGGAAATTTAGTCCGCAATGATGTTATACCAGCTGTAGCTATTGAACCAATGTTTTCTCTGTTAAATTGAGCTGTTACTGCGTGCATGGCATGTATATCGATATCCGATGCCTTCTGATACATACATTCTCGCTTTTGCAACCTCGTAATGCAACGATCTTGTGTCAGACGTTTATTCCCTTGTTACGTAGCCAAGCCAATCACAAACCAAGTATGAGGATAGCGGCAAGCTCGGGATGTTGCCCCCCACATCACAGCCAGATCTAGCACAAAAGGGCATTAGTCTCCAATCGGGTTTGTCTTTAACGTGAGCTTCCCCGCATTTTACACAACCGGGGTACAGAAAAATGCCACGGTCCCTTTAAAAGCTCATTTCACTCGTTCCCTTCTCCATTCGTCATCCGTTTTCTCTCCTCCACCGCCGACCCCGATTACCTCTATCTTGTTCATCTATCTATTTGCCAGCGGGTCCGTCTACGAGTCCACTTTCTGGTATGGACTCCGAGTCCTGTCCGGTTTGCTACAAAATCTTCAGTCGCAAGTACATACACCCTGTCTTTGTTTAGTGCTACCATACCTTGGCCGGGCTGGTCACTCCCAGCATACATCGGAGTTCTATCTTTCAGTCCGTGGATTAACGCATAATATCAGGGACAGTTTAAAGCGACATGTGAAGATGCACGAGAGGGGCCCCAGGCTGAGGAGAAAGTCTTGTAAACATTGCCAAAGGTAGGCCTTTTTCTCAATCCACTTCAACGTTGTGGCATTTTGTCCTGACGTGCAAATTAAGGTCTAAGATCCGTTGCTCAGGGACAAGACCTCAATGCTCATCTTGTCTCCGAAGAGGCGCAACATGCGAATATCCTAATAGTCGCACGAGCCCAACACTTGGTGATCACACTCCAGACTTGGACGATCATCCGCAGGCTGATTGCTTTACTCCACCTGCAGACTTTTCCGAGAGCGCGGCATCTCTAGATGGCCAGCAGGAGGCAGCTCAGGGTCCCTCACCATCATCAGAGTTGTTCACGAGTGGTAGCTCTCTACTACCATTGACATTCACTGGCCTGGACGGCGAGGGGCCCCCTAACTACCATGCACCAGCCGGTCTGGAGCAGAATGAGGATAATCTCTTCTTGAACTTCGGTGGACTCAGCCCTGACTGGATCTTCTCAATATTTGACCCTTGTTCACATCTCGACACCTTCAGCTTTCCGGCCGACTGTGAAATTCTTGATGAGCCTACCTTGCCTCTCACAGCTCAAAATTCGTCCCCCAATGCCCAAGAACCGCCAGTCAAGTACAGCGCCGGGCAGGGACCTCATCTCGATAACTGGCTCTTGAGTACCGCCGGGACCAACGACACCCAATCGTTGGTCATCCCCCAGCTGGGCGGCAACGGTGATAAGTCGCTGCGATACGGCTCGCATTTCCAAATGCCCAAGGTCGTGGAGGCACAGAGATCTCAACTCCTCGATTCCGCCCAGGCGATCCTGGAAAGGCCATTGTGGAAAGCTGTTTCGCTGGCTAATTTCCCGAGTAAGGCAAAGCTGGATCACTGCATTGATCTCTTTTTTGTCCACTTTCGACCTGTAAGGAACTATATAACATCCAGTCTTACGTCAGCCTGTGCTCGTCTAATCTCTTATAGCCCATCAGCTTCATCCATCGACCTACCCTCAACCCAACCACTATATCAGAGGTGCTTCTGCTATCAATTGTTGCCATTGGGGCTAGGTTTAGCAGCATGCCAGGCGCAAGGATCTTCGCCAATTCGATTGCCGAACTGAATCGTCGTATACTCCTCGTCATGGTCAGTATACTTAGTGATACTATGAATTTGAAGAATGTCCGAAAGCTGATTCATATATGCAGAATGAACAAGATCCAAGTCATCGGCACTCGGAGGACTACCTCACCGCTCAACTTCTTCAAGCGATGCATGGTCGTGCCAGTGGCCATAGAATATTATTTGGCCACAGTAGAGATTTGCGATCGACGCTTGTTCGGCATGCGAGGGAAGCAGGTTTATTCCAAGAGCCAAAGCCACGTCAGAATGCACCTGACGATTGTTCCGCCACCACCGAAAGCCGGTGGTTGGATTGGGTTGCGACGGAGCGCCATAGAAGGCTGGGCTGGGCGATATATGTAAGTTCTTTGAAGCATCAAGCTATTGAAGAGAAACTAATTACGCCTCTTAGGATCTCGACGCAACTGTTGGCATATTGCACAATGAAAGACCTGCTTTCAGTATCGGCGACATAGCCCTCTCTCTTCCCGATGAGGATGCTTGCTGGGAAGCCCCTACCGCTCACTCATGGATAGCACTTCGGCCGTGGCAGCCATCGCATGAGAACAGGATTGAGTTCCGCAAAGCTGCCCGAGAATGCTTCTACCCCAGCTCGGCTGACAACCTTGAACTATCTGATGACCAGCACTTGCATATAATCACTGTCACACTTTGCCGATTTTTGTGGTCTATGAAAGAACTCCAGGGGTCTCCACTGATGGATGCTGTTCCTGAAGACTGGCCCCTGGTGAATCATAAGCGGACTCTACTCAACAAGCTGGATCAGTTTCTTACATGTCCAGAGGCCGCCAAAGCCAACAAAGACGATGGTGTCCTGCGACGAATCGTGGAAAGGCTATTGATAATCCATCTCTGTCACCTATTCGGCGCTGGAGACCTTATGGATTGGCTGCTGCCTTTACTTCGCGCTGGAGGTCAGCACAAAGAATCACGGGCAAGAATGAGTAACTGGGGTCGTGAGGACGGGGTCAGATTGCGCCAAGTGGCTTACCACTCCGCTCAAATCTTGGCTCTGAGTCGATCATTTCCTTTCAACTCCCCTTGCGAATCATTCTATGCCTTCTATGCGGGAGGCGCACTTTGGTGTGCCACAGTGTTGCTAGGTGAATCAGAACCCGGTATTGGCACTGAAGCGTGTGATGACGAGGATGACAGTCAAAAATTCACTGTTCTGCAGCTTGATGCCTTTCACCCATTGGAAGGTGACGACTATAGCAAATTGCATCACTGGCTTTGTGAAGGCGGACAAGCCAGGGTAGGCCTGTTTGGTGTACCACGCCTTGGAAGTAAGGACAGTCATGTGCAGGTTCTTCAAGAAGCATTGCGGATTTTGCAGAACATGAGGATCTGGGAGCTTTCCAAGGCGTTTTCCGAGTTCATTCGAAAGCTCATAACTGCTGAGTCAGGAGTTAAGAAATAGATATCGAGGGAAATAAGATTGTTCTCGTATAAAATATGGTATTAGTGTCAAGCCTGTGTGAATAATTATTGCAGATTTCGAGTAGCTGAAGTCTACAAGTTATTTTAACATGATTGTATAGGATATACCAGACGTGCTCTGCTAACCTTTCCCAGCTTCAAATCGACCAAACCCTTCGCAATAGCTGTGAGCCCTCCATCCCTGATGCTTGCCTGGATAGGTTGGATCTTATGTTCTCTCAGTAGCTTCTCAGCCCGTGAAACAAAGTCTGATGCAAACTCAACATCCTCTGAAACAACGGGGAAGACTGGGGCTTGAGCATCGAGAGAAAATGGTCTACCCAATACAGTGAAAGCAACAATGCGGATCGTCTTGACCCTTATGTTATCTATATCTGGGCATGATCTCGTGCACGCTATGTAAATCCCACCTGTCAGTTTCATGGCAGCGGCACAGATAGCTGATGAAGCATCGTTAGAAATGCAATCAACAACAGCAAGCCGTCTACTACCAGAAGCCTCAATGATATGTTGTGCACAAAGAGGATCCCGCTGGGAAATGTTAGTGGTAAGTCAGTGATGCTCCCGCTGAAAAGGTAATGGACCGATCACTTAAATGACCCGAACTCACATACATAGTCGAAAACTGCATCTGCGCCGCATCGTTTAACAAAGTCAAAACTATCTGGAGAGCTTGTTGATATGACATGGAGACCGGACCTAGTGTAGTAATTAGCTGACCGTCTCTTTGTATCTTAAAGAAGTGAGATGAAAAGTCTTACAACTTGGCCAACTGGATCTGCATCGACCCAATGGCTGTAGCGCCACCATAGATGAGCAATACTGGTTGCACCGGCTGTGGCTCCTCAGTCTGTTTTGGATATGGGAAGGAGAGGTGCCTGTATAGGCAAAAACCAGCAGTAAAGAGTGCTGTGGGCAACGTCGAACCCAGCTCACACGAGATGTTCGGAGGGAGATGCACTAAGATATGGGCTTGCGCGACCAGATAGTCCGTGAATGCGCCATCATCAGGCCTCAAGGTGTTCCCTAACAGACCCAGATTAGGTTGGAAGTCTTATACCGATGCCTCGTGCCAGCTTACCACCTTGTATCATTCCCGCCACTCGATCTCCGACTTGAAGCCTATCGACGTGATCCCCAAGACATTCAACAACCCCTGCAAAGTCGCATCCCAGGATGGTTGGTTCTGCAAGCGCCTGGCGGTACATCATTTTCCAGTCTATTGGATTCAGGGCCACTGCCGCAACCTTGATCAACACCTCGCCTGGCCCAGGCTTGGGTACGGGGCAAGTGTCGATAGCAACATTTCCAGGGCCAACATGGCGGAGAGCGGAGCGTGAAGGCATTACGTAAACCCAGTTAGATCGAATGAGTGATATCGGAGATATGAAAGGATTGTCCAGGGAGGTATCAAATCATGCAAGAGGTCAAAGGTGATGAACAAGGCTACTGGAGGTGGACATGATGTCTAACACTATAGTTTTCTACTAATATCCTGGACTGAGTCTGTCGGAAATCTGCTTGATCGGAACGGGTGCACTTTGCGTCGATCACGTTTCCCTAGACTACCCCGCAGTTTGATTGCAAACAGTCTCACACGGATTTGGCGCAGCAGTGACGCCGGAATTCAGTCAATATGAGTGGTTGGTCGGAGTATGTGTGCCACATAGCTAAGTCGATCGGAGTTTCGGGTGGTGGAGCCTCTACGGACCTGTTGTGTGTGCCTGCTTATCCGTTGGCATTGCCGAGAATTGCAAACTTTAGAGACGCAAGTTTCTTTGTAAAGACCTTCTATAATACAGGAGAAATCTCCTAGGCGTGTAGGATTAGCAGATTTCACAAAGTACCCCTTGAAACAAGACAACTTATCGTATTGATTCATCTCAGTTCTAGCTAAGAAACCTTTGCAATTCTTCAACATGCCTTCAATCGTTGAGACCCCGCAAAAAAGCAAGAGTCTCCTGGAGCTTCTCCCTGGGAACCTTCCCCATGCCAAGATACCCACCAACATCAACTTGGAGGCAGTTGCGGCCCAAGTTCTCAAGTCGTTCCCCCACCTCGAGAAACGCCACTTTACACCAGACGCCATCTGGCGTGACACGTATGCCTTGTCAGGAACCATCCGTACGTTCTATTTTGATGAAGCTCTTGCAACAGAATGGTCTACACTCAGCAATAGCCACGGTGTCTCCTCTTTTTCTCTTGTCCCTGGTTCTGCAAAGGTTTATAGACTTGAGGGAGGCGCGGAATGGGTTGATTGCAAGTTCATTTTCCATACAACCACACCGGCAACTGAATGCTCTGGTATGCTCTCACTCGTTCCATCACAAGATGGGTCATGGAAAATCTGGGTTCTTCGCACGATCCTTGAGCAGCTCAGCAACCACGGCAATGTAGATTCAATGGAACCTACTAGCGTCTTGGTTAACGGTAACGGTACGACTGGGAATCATTCTTCATCAAATGGCACGTCCAATCGAGATCATCCGTCAAATGGAATCCCTAATTGCACTACTGATGACCAAGGCCGTCTTCATTATGACGCAGTGATTATCGGAGGTGGTCAGAGCGGTCTCAGTACTGGCGGGCGCTTGCAAGCTCTCGGGGTTTCGTATGTCATACTTGAGAAAAACGCCCAGGTTGGTGATGCATGGGGATTGAGATACGAGTCAGCCCGTTGTGAGTTCTTTCCCCGGCTCTGCTATGGCCCACACACCAATCACTTTCCGTCTGTTCAGCTGACTGATACCTTTTCCTTAGTGCATACTGTGCGCGAATATTGTACGTCTCAAACAACAGTATCAATTGTCTGATAGCTATAACAGCTACTAACTTGATATTCTAGCTCACTTGCCTTTTGATAGAACCTTTGGACCCGAGTATGGCGAATATCTAGGTAAAGACGAGCTGGCTAAGGGACATAAGAAGTGGGCGGAGAAATACGGCATCGTGAGTTTTTCACCAGGACCAGGTAATTCCGTTGCTAACTCTTTGGCGCAGAATATCTGGTGTTCCACAAACGTGAAATCAGGTTCCTGGGATGAGGCATCCAGAGCCTATACTCTTGACGTCGTTAAGGAAGGACGTCCCATGCAGATTTCAACGCGACATGTCGTCATAGCCACAGGCGCAGGGTCGCAGACCCCCGTGCTACCAACAATCTCCAACAGAGTCAGTTTTTCTTTATCCTAGAGGAAACAGGATCTCGACTAACAAGGCTGAGCAGGAAGCGTTCAAAGGAGTAGTGTTGCATTCTGCCGACTACTCAACCGCGCAGGCCTGGGCTGAAAAGACTGGCATTGTGGTTGGCACTGGAAATACAGGTCAGTATACTTACAAGTGCGCCGTGTTACCAATCTTTGTTTAACTTCTCCAATAGCACACGATGTAGCCGACGATATGTACGAAGCCGGTATGGAAGTGACGATGGTTCAGAGGAGCCGTACTTGTAAGTCCTGATAGGTTCAGAAAGTGTTGACATCGTTGAACCTTTACTTATTGCGTCGTCATGCAGTTGTACTTCCAGCCGAGTTTATTAAAGAGCGATATGATCGTAAGTCAAAGAACCCCTCCCCAATTACATGTTCAAGTAACTAATCCTCTCTCAAGTCATATACAATGCCCAGATTCCCACCGAAATCAGTGACCGAGCGATGTTCACCCAGCCAGTGTCAATTGCTCGTCTGCTCTCGTCTAAGACATTCCATGCTATGGCCCGGTCACAACCGGAAAGATACGATGCCCTCGAGCGTGCTGGCTTCAGGGTTGATCCTTTCGGAGATATTCAAGACGCCATTAATATCCGTCTGGGCGGACATTACATTGATGTCGGGACGTCTGCCAAAATTGGAAAAGGCCTGGTATGCGATCCCCAAAGACGATTGATGCAAAGTCCTGACTTAAATCCCGATAGATCAAGGTTAAATCTGATGCCGCCGCATCAAGGTATACGGAACATGGGCTGGCCTTCTCAGATGGGTCTGAAATCAAGGCCGATGTGATCGTCCTTGCAACTGGTTTCGTGGGTAACCTCCGACAGCATGTGGACAAGATCTTTGGCTCAGCTGTTGCGAAGAGAGCTGGAGACTGTTTCGGCCTGAACAGTGAAGGCGAGGTTCTTGGAGCTTTCAAACCATTGGAGCGTGAGTATCTAGCTACAGTGACTTGAATTGCTGATGATTTACGCTGACTGACTTCTCTTGATAACAGAACCCGGGATATGGTATATCGGCGGTGCTCTCGGCCACGCTAGATATTATTCTCGCTTTATTGCATTGTCTATCAAGGCCGATGCTATAGGGCAACCATTGCCTGTTTACCGAGATCACATGTTTAGAATTGATTAAGCTTTAAAATACAAAGGTTATGAAAGATGTGGTAAATGAGGTTGAAACAATAGAGATAGAATATATTCCATTGCAATATTTACATTAGCACAGCTGTAATATTGAAGATGCATTTGAATACCTTCGTAGTACTCCGTATGTGAGCTGTAAAAACTACTGTAAAAACTACTGTTTCGGCTTAGTTACCCCACTGAAGCTGGTTGACTAATCGCATTCGGAGTCCGAGGTGCCGAAGACGCGACCCCCGCAGAAACTAGGCATTAGTGGCGTGGCTAGGGTCACGAGGTGCGCTAAGTAACCCGCTCAGCTGTTTCATCCGTCAGTTCCATCGTAACCAATCTCACTGTCTGCATCTACCATTACGCCTCCACAACACTGTCTCGCAGCAATGTCTTCAGTCACCTCTACTAGTCGGCCAAAGTCCTCCCGCCGGTCTAAATACACTTCTGTTGCATGGTGCGCCCTCCCTCCTCACTCACTTAGTCTCCGTCTTTGTGGGTAACACGATTTGCATGTAGCCTTGAGTGCCAGCGCCGGAAGAACAAGGTTGGAACACGAATCGAATAAGGTCAAGTATCACTACTGACAATTGCACCCAGTGTTCCGGAGAAAATGAGTGCGCACCTTGTCGTAGACGAGGAGTGCGCTGTGTCTACTCCACAAACGGCCGGGTCCGCATTCAGAGAAGACGGTCGGACGCAGTAGGCGAGACCATGAACCTTGGGTCGCTGTGCTCGACTTCGCCATCCCCATATTCTTTCCGCTCTATGACACTGAGTGACTCGAATAACCCGAAACAATACAGGGTTGAAGATAATGAAGTTGAGCCTGTCGACGCCAATTCGACATCACTTGATCCCTTTGCTACAACACAAAACATGCCCATCCCGGCTCTTGAGACAGAAACAAGTCTAGCAGAAGATAGAGTTCGCCATCTCGAGGCCACTTTAAAATTTATAGCCAAGTTAAGTTCTCGATCCGTCGCGAACTCTACTGGCTCATGGTGAGAGCAAACCCCTTCTATTGTCCCAGGCCAAGAAGGCGCAAAGTCAAAAACGAGTTCTCGAGTAGAAAATGGTTCCCTTGGTTAACTAATTTCTTGTACCTGTTTAGGCCTACTGTTCCAAAAGAACTAGTCCCTGGGCCTATCGCGTCCAGTGCTAGCAATCAATTTGTGATGGAAGTGGCGGAGTGTATGCCCGATAATATATCTCTGCCATCTCTACTAGCCGCTACTCGACGTTTGCTTGGATCTGATCCCAGTAGGGACAGCCCACTACTGGCTCGACCTGGTCGGCAATTGTCACCCACGTCGGTTCAACTGCCAGAAATACAGTATATACAATGCTTGTTTGACGTCTGCAGCAATAGATTAGCAATGTACCTCCCAAAGGTTGAGTATGGCGAACTCAACAGCAAGGCTATCCAACCTGTTTTATCAACAGAAGTCGCCGTCGGCAGCCTCTTGGTAGAGTCAAGAGACTTTCTCTTATATTCGCAACTCTACATCACTATGTCACTAGGACGGTGTTTACAGTCCCGCGAGAATCATGGACGGGACGTGTCTGAGGCTGCCTCGTTCTATCACCAGAGCATGTCTCTTATGAACGATGTACCGTCAATTCCAGCCCACTGGGCTGGTATGGCCAAGTTCCATTTCTTCCGAGCGATCTATTTAATGCAAGCCGACGACATGCAGGGCGCAGTACTAGCAATTTCGACATCGCTCCAGTACGCCTGGCAGGCCAAACTCAATGATCAAACAGCTTCGTCCTCCTGTAATGCACAAGGGCTTTTGTCACGGAAAAGACTGTGGTGGGCCATATATTGCATGGAACGACGGCTCTGTCAGAAGATTGGAAAGCCGTCGGGGATCTGCGACAAGGAAGTAGCCGTGGACGACCTTGTATCAAGGGAGCAGTTGGTGGCCTGCCAAGACCTGGATGTTCTTCCTGAGCAAATCAGCCAGGATGACTTACATCTCCAGATACTTGTTGATATCAGCAGACTATGGGGCAAAATTTGGGATCGGTTCTTCAGGGCCGCACGTCACACCTCCAATGATGATGAAGAGGTGGACATGATGGCCCTCCGCATATCCCACCTTCATCGTAACGTTCCCGCCATATTCCAGTGGTCTAAGAGTATCCTGGATAATGTCGTTAAGGGTTCTGAGCTAGAACTGCAAACCTCTAGGAGACTAGTGATTCACGTGGTAAGCTGGTCTCTTCCAGCGTTGACTCTTAGACGTTTTGCTAATGAGACCTTTCTGTTCATGTAGCGTTATACTCTACTGCAGCTTCTAGTTCGCCAAAACCCAACACGAACCGAACTGCTCAACCTGGAGCAGACAAGATTCTGCCATAAGCTGGTATCTGAGGTGGTCGACACTCTCTCCGAATTTATCGCCGTATATTCGCTCCCGCGAATTGCCTCTCTAGCATACTTCATCGCTTCGTCTCTCACTGAGTGCAGCTACCATGTTGCTAGAATCCTTCATAACCCAATCTGTAAGGCTGAGCATCTACCTGCAATACGAACCCTCAGTAAATTGATAGAGTTGCTCAAACTGCTATCCCCATCAGTCAAAGCAGCCCAGCGAGCCTATGCAATACTTCATCCTCAAGCCACGGCTGCTATTCAGGGCTTCATGAACTGTGATGAGAGAGGCGATGGATTCGATGCCTCTGTATCGTTACCGGATACTGGGGTTGAATCTCACTTCCAATCAATGTCCGAGACTTGGCCTGGCTTGCCACTGGCCAGTTCCTGCCTGCCGCAAAGCTTTGAAGGTTGCTTGCCAATCGGTCATCAAATCGGAATAGCATCACCTGATCATTTGATAGCTGAGACACAGTCTGGGGATACTACATTTGGACTATCATTCTCTGCAGATGGCGCAACAGATATTGCAGATATGGACGAACTGTCATTTCCGTATCTCTACTTACCTGACATTGGGTAGACTCATTGAGGCGGAATGTCCAAGGGGACTATTTTGTAACAAGAGTTCGTTCATACCGGCATCCAACTCGAAGTGTAAAATAACTACCTAGCCAACATGTTTCTTCGCATTGCTGTCTATCAGGAATTTTCTCAACCCTGAGCATCAGCGTTGACCTCCAAGTCAAACTTGTCCAAAGCCATTTTGACCAAGTCAGTCCCAATGATATGCTTCTGGTATCTTCCGTCAATCCATGTCCATTTGCTTTCTGACTCGCCCGTCATTCCTGAAAACTCTCTGTCCCGTCGTTGCTGTTCCTCTCCATCTGGCAAGTGGTACATGATTCTGTTAGTGGCCGCTCCTTTTACATTTAAGGTCGAGTATGGCTTCTGAAGTGATTCGAAGATACCGAGGACTTTTGGGAGTGTCATTCCACTGGCCTCTAGCTTTTCAGTGCTTGTTTTGCTAAATCTTCCAAGGAGGGCGCCGAGAACAGCGGCATCTCCAAAGGCCATGGCGGCACCTTGAGACTGGTATGGGAGTGTTGGGTGAGCAGAATCTCCTAGAAGGACAGATTTGTGCTTCAACTAAGTTAGTATAGCTTGTATAATAGTAAGAGAATAGCAGAACGGAAGTAGTGCGATGGCACTTGCTTAGATAAGAAAGAAGAAGGAGGGCAGAATAAAAGGAACTCACATTAACCCATGTTTCAAGCTCACTGTGATGACAGAGCTTCCATTTTAAGGTGGACGAGAAGCATGTCGTGATCTTGGTCAATCTGAATAGGATAAGTAAGCAGGATCCAGGGTAAAATGATACGTTCAAGGCAGCAGTTCGAGGTACAACTCACATCGGATCCCAGTTTTCAAACTCTCTACACATCTCAGCCAGATCGCCCTTCTCAGTTCTTTGGCCCTTCTTCATTCGGTCTGGCGTCAACAACACCAGATTCCAAAGCTCGCCACCCCGGATGGCATAGAAAACAGCGTGCTTCAAGGGGCCTAACCACAACGTGAGGGTTTGCTTATTCTCATCGCAAAATCGAATGACCTCGGCGTCGTCAAGTTCCTCAAGCTGCTGACGCGTGAATGTGCCTCGATATGCTAGGTCCCCGGTCTCTGCAGGCTCGATGGCTTTCCCTACCACTTGGCTGCGTAAAGTAGACCAAATACCATCGGCACCTACAATGACATCGGCTTTGAAACGTTGGCCATCAGTGAGAATGACCTCGGTAGCCTCGAAGTCGGCCTTCATAACATCGCAGCCTGTTTTAATCTCAACACCGAGCTCGGCAGCTGTTTCTATAAGTGCCTGCTGGAGGTCTGCTCTATGGATGACCCTAGCAAAAGAGATAGACATTTAGCAAATTGCACCAAAGGCATTAGGCAAGGGAAGAGTCTTACATGGCTGGATATCCATATTTTTCATATGAAATAGGGCCATATTTGCGTGTCGCCAAAACATCGCCATTATCCCAACGACGGAGGTGGCGGACAAGAATCTCAGTTGCTTTGCACTTGATCTTCTCAAACACACCTATATAATCCAGCGCACGGCATGCATTGGGTGGAACCTGAATGCCTGCCCCAATCTGTTTCTCTTGTCAGTTTGATCTCCGATGGAAACGTTTGAATCGCTTAGATCACATCATACTTGCCTCTGAGAGTTCGGGAGCTCGTTCTAGAATAGTTACATCTAACCCTTGACGCCGACAGGCGATACCACAAGCAATGCCACCAAGTCCAGCGCCGACAATAACGACCTTCATGGCGAGGGATCAAGTAGACGTAGATAGAATAGGTTTAGATGATGTGGCTTAGATTCTGTCTTGAACCTGATACCTGGAAATTCATAAATCCCAGAATTTGCGTATTTTTAAAGGTAAATAAGACAGCCATCGTCCATTTATCGGAAGGAACAGCTTAAACTTCCGACTCGGGATGTCAAAGGCGGCAATTTCATCATGGAAGAGTTATCGGAACTGCAACGGCTATCGCGGCTAGTGCGTCGGAATTGTAAAACGAGAGTTCATGTGCCGGTGGAATGAGAAGCTGACCCGAGCCGGAAGGCCTATTCAATATTTTTCTCATATTCTCCAATTCTATTTAACTTCATTACTTCATAAACCGTGTTTATCGTGCACAACTCACTTTCATCCTTCATCAACCCCCAGCCACTCCATAGAGGACACATTAGACAAACCATTATCCATATCGTTTGATCACCATTCGCCTTGCGAATTTCCCTACGAAAACATGTTATCATCAATCACAATCGCTGTTAAAGACGCCGAGGCCCAGGTTCTCGAGAAACGTGCTGCGTTATGCGACATGTTGGAAGCCAACACCTCCAAAGCCATTGAAGTCTTTCGAGATGTGTCGGCTCCAGATTATCGAGAGATGCGTCAAAATGGGACAAACGGCTTCAACAAACCACCTGAGCTTTCAGAGGCTGAGAACCTATTCATTCAGAGGCGCGACGGCACAGACATGGAGCTTCGCATTATCAAGCCAACGACAGGGTCTAGTAGTGGCTCACTGTTGCACTTTCATGCAGGTTAGTGTATACTAATCAATTGACTGGGGGCGTTTGGGCATTACGGGTCCCTTGATAGACTTCTTACTGATGATTTTTGGAATTATAGGTGGTCTTGTGTATGGAACTGCTCGTGGCCAAGACAACTACTTGCAAGCATTGGCCAACTCACTAGGCCTTACCGCCGTCTCAGTCGAGTATAGGCTTGCGCCAGAGCATCCTTTCCCAGCCAGCCAACATGATGCCACTGACGCAGCGTTATTCGCCCTCTCTGCGGCCGGTGAGGGAAAGCTCGGCGGCCCTCTTCGTTTGCTTGCGGGCGAGTCAAGCGGTGCTTATCTCGCTGTATGGACCGCAATCTCACTCCGTGACGATCACGGTGTAGATGTCAAGGCCAGCTTGGCTGGTTTGCTCTGCAGTTACGGAATATATGATATTTCGTACACGCCGTCGCTACTCCGCCATGAACGCAACATAATTGTTGGGCGTGAGAGCATGTTTAGGCTCGTGGATGCCGCGTTCCCTCCCGAACAGGTGATTAACCGCAAAGACGCTTCTGTCTCGCCGCTTTACGCCGATCTCAAGGATCTGCCACCTGCACTGTTCTTGTGTGGCACTGAAGATTCTGTGATTGATGACAGTGTCTTCCTTGGCTCACGATGGAGTCTCGCCGGTAATAAAGCCGAAGTAAAGTTGGTCCCGAAGGGCTTCCACGCTTTCTCACTGATCCCAACAGGTGAGATTCAGAAGGAGGGAGTCTCAGATATTGTGTCCTTTGCATTGTCAGTTTTGTAAGATACAGTAGTATTACACATACAGTGCAAGTTAATAAAATTATTCATATACTGAATATAACTTAAGTTTATTTACAAGTAGGATAACACTCTGTTTAGAGGATTTTATATAGTATAGATATTTAATATATATTAGAAAGCCTTTTATTAATAAAATTACAAGGTAAAATACTACATATATTAGCTTAATATACTTAAAATAAATATTAGAAACTTAAAGTATTATTAATCTAATATTTAATTTCTAACCCTACTCTATCTAAATTATATAAATGCAATAAAGTAAGAAAAAGCTTTTTGCCCCATATTCTCTACATCTACTAACATTTGCCTATAGCTAAAGACAAGCTTCTATCCTAGTAAAAGATGCCAATAAGCGGTTCGGCTGAATGTGAGATCCCCCAATGCCACAAAAGCGTCCAATTGGCTTTAAGATATATCTGCTTTCCGGCATGATCATATCTTGTAGTTTGTTTTCTCTTTCGGAAGCGGAATAGTAAAGGCTAGCTAGCCAGTTTAGTCTACCCGGGACTAGCAATTCCGATAGCTTGTGGGGTAACCCCGGAACTCAGACTGTGGGGTACCAAGGCAATGTGTATTCCCCAGGAAGGAAAATTAGCAAGGGTTAAAAGGGAGTATTAAAGAAATATCTTCTAGACCCCATCCACGCAATAGAGAAATCAGCTATATCCTCAGTCCGCAAACTGTTCTCTTCTCTTTTAACTTTGTCTCTCTCTTTCTATCTAACTCCAAGTTCACTTTGTCTTCAAAATGGATTCTGGGTTCAATTCGAGACCTTTGCCAGGCACAGAAAAGCTGAAGTCTAAATGGAACACAACAACCACCGATCTTAGTGGTGCAAACCCTCCAGTTCGCCTCGAGGGAGAAATCGGGGACGTTATTGTTCGCGGCACTATCCCTGATGCCATCGACGGCACCTTTTACCGCGTTGCCCAGGACCCCTTCACCCCGCCAGCGCCGCATAACGTCTCCATTGAAGGACATGGCGTGGTGTCAGCTTTTCGTATTCACAAAGGCTCGGTCGACTTCAAGATGAGATACATCCAGACGGAGAGATACCTCACTGAACGCAAGGCAAGGACAAGTCTATTCGGCTTGTACAAAAACCCTTGGTCAGATCATCCTTGCGTTCGAGGCGTGGTTGATTCAACGGCAAATACCAACATCATCTATTGGGCGGGAAGCCTCCTAGCACTGAGGGAATCTGCCAATCCGTACTCTCTAGACCCAGATTCGTTGGATACCAACGAATATGACCCTTTTGGTAAACAGGTCAACTCTGAAGCCTTTACGGCTCATCCCAAGATTGATCCATTTACAAATGAACTCGTTGTCTTTGGATACGAGGCTAAAGGCCCTGGAAGTGACGACATTGTTACTTACTCCATTGATAAGAATGGACATGTGAAGAATGAGACCTGGGTTAAGTCTCCTTATGTCACATTTGTTCATGACATGGTCTTGACCGAGAACTGGATCGTTCTAATTCTCTGGCCTTTTGAAGCCGATGTTGATCGTATGAAGGCTGGTGGCCATCACTTTGCGTACAATTACGATCTTCCCGCCTCCTTCATTGTCATTCCCCGCCGCCCAGAGAAGGCGAATTCAAACTGGAAATTGGGCGAATATCGTGTCTACAACACCAAGAACTGCATGATAGGACACACAGCATCCGGATGGGAAGAAGGCGACAAGATCTACTTCGAATGCTCCCGCTCTCACGACAATTTCTTCCCTTTTTTCCCCGCCAAGGATGGAAGGGAAGCAGGAAAGACAGTAGTGGACTTTGTGCGTTTCGAGATTGACCTGAATCAGCCCACTGGATCAAACGTCGATGAACCTAAAGTCTTGCTCGATATCCCCAATGAGTTCCCACGTATCGATGAGCGATACATGTCAAAGAAGTATGAGGTTGTCTTTTGCTGCATCTTTTATCCAGGTCACAGCGACACGAAGAAACTGCTCTTTAGTGGTCTCAATGCTGTGGCCATGATCAACACCCGAACTGGAGAGCAGCAGTTCTACTGGCCGGGAGAGAACTGCTATTGTCAGGAGCCTGCATTTGTTCCACGAAGCGATGACGCTCCTGAGGGAGATGGATGGGTCATGTTTGTTGTTGAGCGTAGAGCTCTGAACGTCAGCAATCTGGTGATTGTCGATACTCGTGACTTCAAAACACCTATCGCTGTCGCTGAACTCCCCTTGCGTGTACGACCGCAGATCCATGGTAACTGGGTTGACTCTCGGGAGTTGAATGACAAACCTCTCGTCTCTGAACCAGGAGAGATCAAACTTTCTGGTAAAGCATGCAACTTGAAGGTGGACATTGCAAATGGTAGTCACTGAGAAGGCTTGGCGGAACATCCCATATTTCAAGCCCAAGGATAGGCTATTCTCATCTCCTAGTTGATCCTTATATAGCTCTTTTTTCCATGTCAATAAATACTGTCTCTTCCTGATCTGCCTGAAATGTGTCAATGTGACGGCGGTGTCAAAACTAATATCTGAACTATAGCATGAAGAACGATGTACTCGACGGTACCTAAAATACTTCATTCCAATCCTGTAACCTGGACCAACTGAGTGGATCTATTGGCAATGTCAATTTTAACAAAGCTTCATAGTATTCATGTGATCAGAATTTTCCAGAACCATGCTTCAGTATCTCAAATACACCAGGGTGAAGAGACTCATTCTGGGCAACTTCCGCTCCACCACGCTTGTACTGAACTGGATACGCCCTGCCAAACGCGAGGTAAAGAGATGCAAAATCTAAATTCGCTCCTGGGGATCCGAGGCCCTGACTGTAGTCATGAGACTTTACCGGTAGGGAATACGGGGGTGGCATGCTTAACCGCGGTGTAAATACTAATTCCGATGACTGACGCACCACGATCTGCCGAAGTTGCCGATAAGCCGTATCAACCAACTCCGGGCGGAAAAGAGCCATACCAGCGGAAGGTATCAAATGGAAGGTCTGCTCCGTACTTACATTCCGATTTGATGTATATTATATTATTTGAACACTCTGGTCTCTGTGATAGACTTGCATTCTGTTAGCACCATATATTCAAGCATAGCTAATCATCCTTTTAATCCCTGCGATTTACATCTAACAGCACAACCGTTCCTTGTTATCTTTACAGGATTGAAAGATGGCCAAACAAGGAATGCATGACCCTCGTCCTCTCCGGGTTATATGCATTGGTGCGGGGATATCCGGCATTGCAGCAGCATACAAAGCCCAAAGACAACTGGTCAACACGGAGCTAATCATTTACGAAAAGAACCATGATGTAGGTGGGACTTGGCTGGAGAATCGTTATCCTGGATGTGCCTGCGACATCCCGGCCCATTCCTATACCTTTTCGTGGGAGGGAAATCCAGAATGGTCTAGGTTGTGAGTTACGGCGTGAACTGCGTACCCTTTACCAGTTGAACTGACATCGACTGCCTAGTTATGTTGAAGCACCCGAGATCTTTGAGTATTTGAAGAACTGCGCTCAAAAATGGGGCTGCATGGACTTTATTAAGTTGAGACATAGAGTTATTGGGGCCACTTGGGATGAGAAAAGGCTTAAATGGACTATTGAGATCCAAGGGCCAGATGGCACGCAGATCACCGACGTTTGTGATGTTCTCATTAGCGCGACAGGGCCACTAAAGTAAGTACAGCCTTTTACAATCAATCATTCAAAATAGCCGAATTGATCTTGACCTCATATAGTAAATGGCAATGGCCGGATATCCCTGGCCTGGAGGACTTCAAGGGTCTACGCCTACACCCAGCAAGATGGGATATGACTGCCGACCTCTCGGGGAAGCGAGTCGCAGTCATAGGAGCTGGATCATCTGCTCTTCAAATCGTTCCTACCATCCAGCCGATCGTCTCTAAGCTCGTCAACTTCATCCGCTCACCAACTTGGGTTACAGCAGAATATGGCCAGGCCTTCGCTCGTGCCGGAAGAGACACAAGATTCACCGAAGCTGAGATCAACACCTTCAAGTCTGACAAAGAAGCTTTTCTAGAGTACCGGAGAAAGCTTCTCGATGCTTCGACCAAGGCCTTTGATCTTTATTTCAAGGATACCGATATGCAAAGGCAAGCCTTCCAGGCAAACAGAGAGCTCATGCGGAAGCGACTCAAAGGCAACGAAGAGATATGTAACAAACTTATTCCCGACTTTGAGGTTGGATGCAGACGGTAGGATCTAATCCGATTCAGTAATTGTCCGTGGGTGAATACTGACTTGATTCGGTAGCGTGAGTCCAGGACACGGGTATCTGGAAGCTCTGATTGAGCCAAACGTAACTGCAGTCTTTGACGGGATCAAGCTCATCAACGAAACCGGGATCCTCGACAACAACAATGTTCAGCACGATGTAGACGTCATCATATGTGCGACTGGATTCGACGTTTCCCACCGACCTGCGTTCCCCGTCCTAGGACGAGGATCCAAGGATTTGAGAGACTTTTGGAATCAAGGCCCAGTTCATTATCTCTCCGTAGCATCTCCAGGGTTTCCGAACTATTTCAGTGGGTTGAAATCCTTTCTTATAACCGGGGAAGGTAGCTAACAGAGGCAAATCACTCAGTCGTGGGCGGTCCTAACGCTCCCATTAGCAATGTTTCCCTTATTATGGGACTCGAGCTGGCAGTTGACTATGCCTTCTCATGTGTGAGGAAGATACAGACTGAGAATATCGGCAGTTTGGAGGTGAAAAGGGAAGCCACAGATGACTTTCTTGAGCAGAGAGACAAAATAATGCAGGGCATGGTATGGACTGGATCTTGCGTAAGTTGGTAAGTTAACGATACTTATGAGACCCGTGAGAGATCCATACTGATACGAATTTAATCAGGTACAAGAACGGCCGTGATGACGGCTCAGTGACAGGTCCTTGGTGCGGGTCTATATGGCACTATAAGGAAACATTGGAAACGCCAAGATGGGAAGACTTTGAGATTCAGTATCTGGAGAAGAATCGCTTTGCCTACCTTGGAAATGGACGGACTCATAGAGAGCTAAGTGGCGAAAGTATGGCAAAGACTTACCTAAAGTAATCTGAGCTATATTAATATTTACTCAACCTTGTAATCTGAGTTGGGAGTAGTAATAAATGCCTGTTTATTGCTTGATATAGGATAGCTTTATATTAGAACAAGCTGTTACTTTCTGTTTAACAGATCAATTATATAATTCTTTATTATATATAGCTTACTAAACGTAGAGATTGGATACAAGTTCTACTGTATAAGAGAGTTGGTCTCTAGCTAAGATCTCTCGAAATCGACCTCAGTTTGTAAATCCTCTATTCCAAAGTCGTAAGTGACAAACTCATCAATGTCCTCCAGCATCTGAGGTACTAATGAAAACTGATCTTGACCAGCCTCGGGCTCTCTATCCCCGTTCTCGGCGGACGCTTGGTGATGCTCGCAAGTGGTGTCATCGACTGCTTGTTTAGGGGAACTTATGTCGATGGTAAAGAGTCTAGGAGAAGGCAAACGCGCTGAACGAGGTGCAGAGAGGCCAACTGTAGAGCCTTCAGAGTATCGTCCAAGAGCCAATGAGTGGTCGATGGTTCGAGAAAGCCGGAAGTACAAAACAGGTTCCATAACGAGGACATTACCCCAATCATTGGCATACTCTTTGTCTGTGGTGAGTTGGGATTTCGATCCTAGACATCCGACGGCATCGATGCAGAAACTATTCTGTGAGCTTGTCTCATTCTCTGCGTCCTGTATAGTTGCATAATCGATGGCTGTTCTGATAAAGGTCCAAACATCATCAACGCCATCGTAGAGCTTCTGCATAGTCTTCATCGTTTCAACATAAACATTTAACTTTCCCTGCTTCTGGGCTATTTGCAGTGGCCTCTTTGCAAGTCTCACATCAAGGATGTGGAGCACTAGGGGAACAGCAATGTATGCAGCACTAGAAATAGATTATCAGCAGCAGAGAATGACAAATCAGGGTAGTAACTCACATGCTGATTGGCAAATACCTTTCTAACCTCAGGTGGATGAGCTCTTTCAGATTTTCTGTGATGCCGAGCGCGGCATCCTCGATTTTGCTTTTGGTCTGCTGCAGCTCTGAAGTCGTTTTGGCCTGTTCCTGGCTAATGATGAAGGCTTTGTGCTGGTAAAGTGCAAAGCAAGCAGCACTTTTCAATAGTCAGAAACGCGAAATACATCATTATGTTTGAAGAGGAATTCTCACTGATAGTATATGTATAGTAAGTTTGTGTATAACACAAGAGACCCTTCTCGAGTAATGATACCGGCAGGGGTTGGAAACTGGATGGTTGCCCTTTCGAACCAAGCTTCCAAGCCAGCTTCACAAGACTGCAGCGATTCCCTTCCCTTTTCGGCGTCACGCATAACTGGGGAATGGATATCGGTCAAGCGGCCTGTGGGATAGACGATCTTGATGACATCAGTGAGCGGAACAGTCAGCTCACACAGCGTGATGAATAATCGGACTAGCGTTCGTTTGGTCTGTGGTGCATAGACCCGAGACCCGTCAATCTCTCGCCAGAAGTCTTTCTCAGTAGGCAAGTAGTTGGCGTCGGCCACATCCAGCGATGTGATATGTAGTTGTCTTCGCATCCCAAGAGGCAGGATTCGGTCCCGTACTATACAGCACCACCACAGTCGTTTCAGCTCATTTACCGAAGTCAAACTTGGGTTTGAGCTGGTGTGGAACTGGTCTGCCCCTGCGGCCTGAGCTAAGTGGATTGCAGTTGATAGCCAAATAGAATTGGTACGTTTCTGATCCTTCATTGCTCCATTGTATGACAGCAAAAGGGCCCCTTGCGCACTGGACACAAGGTTCCTCTCACTACAAAGATCGAACAACAGCTGCAGTACAGGTCAGTCATCACTCACACCAACATGAGTCACTGATCGCAATGGACTTACTTTACTACGACGGTAGTATGTGTTCCGTGCATTGTGTACTGAAGCAAATCCAAGACTGCGGATGGTTGAAAATGGTAGGAACTACAAAGTCAGCAAACGCTGCATACAGATCAGATCAGGATCCCGTAACGTACACTACATGCAGTAAATAGCATGGCCTGAAAGACGAAGAGAGAGAGGTTTGATCTGCCGCGTACAGACCGTGAATAGATAGCCCAGAACCAAGCTTCATCCAACAACGGGAGTGCCGGATGAACATGTAAAAAGTACTCTTGAACAAACTCATCCAAGGCTTCTGGAGTGGGGACTCGAAAGCAGCCTTGGGCTTCCAGGTAGTTTATGTCATCGGGTAGCAAGCCAGAGATATCGAGATCGAGGAAAGAGTAGTATGAGTATATAATGTGCGATTGACCTGACATTGTTGCATCGGAGCTGGAGGCTGGCTTGGACTCTGTTTGATGCTCCCGAGACTTCTCCGAGATAATGCTGAATTCAGAATCTTTGCGCTGGTTCAGAACCATCTCGAAGATCCCAGCTTCCTTCTCGCGACTTTCTATTGGACCTTGTTTGAGTCTTTCGGTAGGGAAGTCTATCTCAGGTTGATCCCAAAGCGCGTCGAAGCACATGGATGGGCTTTCAGGGCCACATTCCACTGACAAGCCTGGTTCTACACAGGCATCGTTTGGCGAATCCAGATCATCTGATGCAGCAGAACTTGGGTCCTTTGGTAAAATTACCTGCAAACTGTTTCTGAACTGCATCCGCTGCTGTTTTTCGACCACGACAGGAGAGCGTTTGCGACTTGGCCAGGTTAGCTTGGATGGGTGCTGTTTGTCCGGGTAACCTACTATTTGGTGCGTCTATCCTTAACAACACATTGAATATTGTCAAGGGCACAGTTGGTGCACTGATGCGGCCTATGAGTGACATCGCATCGAACCTTACGGGAGCGACATGCTACACAAGCTTTGCTGGCTCGCTTCCGTCGAGGATTTATGCCCTGGGACATCGCATCCTCCATTGTGGACGCTGGCTATTATTTTGATGAAGATGATGATGGATTTTGGACCGGTAGTTGAGGTGGAAGATGCGGGATCTCCCTTTCTGAACTAACTCATGTCAATGGAGAGAAGAGGGTCTGAACGCGGGGTAAAACGCGGGGAAGCGGAAACTTTGGTCAAGGTACGGAGCACTGTACTCTATCGAATGCAGTTAATCGCAGTGTTGACTCGCTTCTATTGAGTCAGGGCTCACGCGCTCTGACTCGGTCATGTTTTGTCAACCAACGCTATGTCCTAATGAAGTAAGTCAATGTGCCAAAACAAGATTTACATCAGCCATGACACTTGACGTCCGAGCATTTTCTACCGAGGGTAAATTCTGACCAATCAATTCATGTTTACGTCGAGAACTTGACCAGACTAACTATGTCGAACATTCCATCTGAGATTCAGTCGGTTGATCCCTTGAAGTTACATCTCTCAATGCAACCATATTTGCAATTCCAGAAGGTTATACGGATACTTTGTAGTAGATACAAGATAAATAATGTGTACGCAGCATTTGTATCGGAACTACCAGACAATAACTGGTTTTACTGTTTTTCCGATTTTCATGTCTTTCAAAGCAGTCTCAAAATCTTCTGGCTGCACAGAATCGTCAGTACAGCTTCCCCACCAAGAATTCGAGGTACCTACCTTGTAGTGGCTAATAAGCTTATCTATCGGTAGCTTGCCTTCCCGATACCACTGTACCATTCGGGGTAGATACTATATGCAAGTCAGAGCTGGTCTGTGGTCTGGGATGGTCAACCTCATACCTCGGCAGGGATAGCATCACCTTCAATCGTTCCTCGAATGACTTTCCCAGTCTGACTTGAATTAGCTTTATAGAGGTAAAGTATCGGAAGTGAGTCCATACCTGCATGAATGTAACAAGATGTAGATCCATCAAGGCATCAAGTGGTGGTACTCCAATAAAGATCAGTTGACCTCTATTAGAAGTAGACTCTAAACCTGCTTTGATAAGGCCCATGTTTCCTGTCGTGTCAATCGTTATGCTAGAGCCTCTTCCGTCAGTGACTCTTTGGATTTCCTCTTTCATGTTAATGTTCTCATCGGAAGTGTTGATTACATGAGTCGCTCCGAGTGCCTTTGCTAATTCCAGCCTCTCTGGTACACGATCAATACCAATGATGGTCTCGCAAGCCTGTATCTTTGCTGTCTGGACGGGATCAGCTTCGTCTTTGTGAGTTTAAAGGGAATTTCTTACCATGATAGAGACCAACCCGACGCCACCAAGACCTATGACTGCGACTCTGTCCTTCTCATTTGCTCTAGCAACGTTTTCAACTGTTGCCGCACCAGTCTGGAATCCACAACCAAGCGGCGCGAATAACTTCAATTCCTCTTCAGTCTTGATGATGTCCGTCACATTCACAACAGATGTTTCCTTGACCACCGCCAATTCAGCAAACGACGACTGCCCGAAAAAGTTACCTCGCAGGTTGGTGCCCTCCGTTGTATACGTTGCATCCTCACCACCGTAATTGATCTCCACGAACTTGCTACAAAAGGACGGATGTCCCTCTTTGCAGTCATGGCAGTCTTTGCAATTGTGAAAAGACAAAAGGACAAAGTCACCTGGGCGAGCTTTGGTGACCCCAGGCCCTGCTTCCACTACAACACCGGCACCTAGACACGAACTTCAGTGACCATAGCCCTAACGACAAGAAATGATTTGAACTGACCCTCGTGACCTAGTACCTTGGGATATGGGATCTGGTCGGCTGGCCAAGTGGCGAAGATGAGGTCAGTGTGACAAATGCCAGTAGCGACAACTCGAATAAGCAGTTCACTGGCATGAACAGCCCGCACAGACCCGCTCACAAGTCTCAAGTCTGGGTTAGTGCCTTGAGGCTCGTATGATGCGATAAATTTAGTGTTCATGGTTGTTGATAGCGATATACTTAATCATGGAGTTCAACGTTTGTCTCTACAAGCAGGTACCGATGATCATTTATTGAAGAAACAAGACACATCATGACTAGCCCAAATAGAGCTAGCGACACAGCTTATCCCCACGATTACCTTCAGCCGATGCGAAAAACCCTCGGCAGAAATAACAAGCCAACCGGCCCAAAGAATATAGCCTCGTGATAGCATGCAACTAACTGATTGTGGATGCGGAACGCGGGGTAAATACCTTGGCAAATAATTGCACGTGTAAAGACGGCTTATATCAAGCCTCAAGACAGAAGTGATATGCATATAACATAAACAGCCTGATACCAATCTTTTGAAAACAGTTCTTTGAGTAGGAGACACACCTCAAGCTATCACATCCACCAATCTTAGGAAACCAGAATGGCTGTCACTACTTATCCGGAGAGCATGGATTTCTCAACCTTTTCCAACATTATCAATGGCCAGTCCAGGGGTACTGCCGCCACACGTCATGGCATCAACCCTTCAACGTGTGAGGCGTTGCCAGACTGTCCTGTGTCAACCCAAGCAGACGTTGAGGATGCTATACAAGCAGCCCGCTCTGCATTCCAAAGTTGGAAAACGACACCTGTTGAGGTTCGAAAAGAGAAGATCAAGGCCTTGGCAGATGCGCTCTTGGCACATAAATCAGAATTCGCACGCCTACTTATAGCGGAGCAGGGGAAGCCTGTAAGTATATATAACTGTTGACTTCATAATGCTAACACAATTACTGTAGGCTATGTTTGCCGACCATGAGATCGGTCGTGGTGTTCACTGGCTTACTGAGACGTGCGAGCTTGATATGCCTGTGGATGAGGTTGATAGCGGCCCAGATAAGCGCATTACGACTCGTTATGTCCCTCTGGGAGTGGTTGCTGCGATAGTCCCATGGAATTGTACGTCTTGATACCTCGTCTTGAAGCTTTTAGCTAACTCGTTATTGAAGATCCCATCATGCTTCTGTGCGGAAAGCTTGGTCCCGCACTAATGGCAGGCAACTGTATCATTGTGAAGCCCTCTCCCTTCACACCCTACTGCGGCATTAAAATAGTCGAGCTTGCACAACGATTCTTCCCGCCTGGCGTTGTGCAGGTCTTGAGCGGAGGCGATGATCTAGGCCCCATGTTGACGGCTCACCCAGGCATTGACAAGATCAGCTTTACTGGCTCTACAGCCACGGGTAAGAGGGTCATGGAGAGCGCCAGCAAGAATTTGACCAGAGTTACTTTGGAGCTGTAAGTATTCCCGAGTTGACCTACATCTGCCTTCTCAGTACACAGCGGCTTACATGGGACAGTGGAGGCAACGATGCCGCGATTATCTGCGCAGATGCAGACATAGAGAATGCCGCTTCACAAATCGCAGTAGCCGCGTTCATGAACGCAGGTCAGATCTGCATTGCTGTCAAGCGCATTTATGTGCATCAAGATATATATGACGCTTTCAGGGCCTCTTTCATCAAGCATGTATCACAGCTCAAAGTTGGCGACGGGTTTGCAGATGGCACCTTCATGGGACCCGTCCAGAACCAACTCCAATTTGAGCGTGTCAAGGTGCACCTCGACGACATAGCAAAAAACAATTATGCTGTGTTGAAAGGCGGAGACATGTCAGAGGGTTTGAAGAAAGGGTACTTCATCCAGCCTACTGTTGTGGATAACCCGCCAGATGATAGCAAAATCGTCACCGAAGAGCCCTTTGGACCAGTGGTGCCTTTGCTGAAGTGGTCTGGAGTAGACGAGGTCTTGTCTCGTGTAAACTCAAGCGACATGGGCTTGGGAGGTTCGGTGTGGACGGCTGATGAAGAGCTTGCGATAAGAATCGCTGATGGGCTTGACGTTGGAAGTGTTTGGTTCAACGAGCATCTGGCTATCGAACCCACAGCTACATTTGGTGGTCATAAGAACAGTGGCTTGGGACGCGAATGGGGTGTCGATGGACTGCGAGGATATTGCAACTCCAAGACATATTTTATTCAGAAGAGCAAGTAGGCACACAGTACAAGCAGCGACAAAATGAATCAGACTCAAAGCTTATTTTCATCACCAAGAATAATCTTGTGAATGCGAAACCGCTACACTCTGAATGACTTGTAACGCAGCTTCAGAGTACCTGTTAGAGCTTGCCTTCTCTCAGAGGCTGAAAACATCAGGGGCTTGGGACCAAGTATCCCGAAACAAGTTAAGCTGGTTGCGTATGATCACCAGTGCTCGCATGCGAGTTGATGGGTGCATGCGGCAGTTCGGTCTAAGCCACGTAAGTGAGACACTATTTACGGCCCACGGTTAACGGCACAAATTGAACCACTCACGAATCAAGTTTACATATCAGAGCACCTTCACAAGTGCTTCCAGTCCAGTCTTCCCCAGATACCCCGCAATTCCCCATAGCGCGCTAATCTCTCTGCTATGCCCTTTGGGATGACCCCGCGTTACGATCCTCAGTTTGTCCCCCCTTAGCAAGTTTAGTGTAACGAATGAAAGTTACCGAGGTGGAATTCCATGCCACAAAACAACCTTTGGCTTGGTTCACCTGATCCAGCCCTTGTATCACCACGATTGTTGTGAGATCCTCGTCTTAAATGGTCCTCCACGGCCCCTTCACTTGCATGGATGGATCGACTTTCTCTTACGTTCCTTTCAAATTGCTATCCTCTTTAGATTTTTGCATCAACATGGACCACGCCATGATGGTTGAGCCCAAAAGCCCGGAAGCCCTTGCGGTCTCATTTGCCAGTGGCTGTCTCCTGCATATTCTCTTCTACCGTAGAGGAGAATGGGACTTGCTTGCGCTCCGCATCTTCCAAGCTTATGCTACATTACCCATCATTGTGATTGGGTTGTTACGCTTGGCTGAATTCAAGGGATGGCAGCATGGCAACAATCTTTCGGCTGCATCCGTTCTTTTGCTTGAAGGTGCTCACATACTTGGGCTTATGACCAGCATCCTCTGTTATCGCACCTTCTTCCATCCCCTGAACAAGTTCCCTGGGCCGCTCAGCGCTCGAATCTCAAACTTCTACCCTACCTACCTCACTACTAAAAATGCCCATCTCTATGAGGAGGTTGAGCAACTCCATCAGAAATACGGCGATTTCGTCAGATTGGGTCGGTATCTCCCTTTCCAGCTTCGAATGTCAAGCTAAGCCTTTGCTGTTAGGGCCAACACAACTCTCCATCACGCATCCAAAGGCGATCGATGCCATCTACTCTGCCAAGTCCCCGTGCACCAAAGGCCCATTTTACAATATCCTTAACCCTCGTATCTCGTTACACATGATTCGCGATCACAAGGAGCACAGCACCAGGCGAAAGATCTGGGACAGAGCCCTGAGTTCTAAATGTAAGGGCTACTCCTTTCGCTTATCTATCCATTCCCCAGCTAAGAAGTATAAAGCACTACGGGACTACGAACCCCGCGTCACGAAGTATACTACACAATTACTCGATCGTCTCAATGAGATGCAAGGCACGACTATCAACGCCTCGGACTGGTTGAACTTTTACAGCTTCGACGTTATGGGTGATCTTGCATTCGGCAAATCCTTCAACATGTTACGTGACGGTGTCAATCATTACTTCCTGAGTTCTCTGCATGGCTCGATGAAGATGGTTGGTGCTCTTGCTCACATTTCATGGGTCATCCCCATCCTGAAACTCATCCCCGCCGTCAATTCTGAGGACCGACAGTTTTGGGCATGGATTTCAGGTCAGGTTGAAGAACGATCAAAGGTATGCCATTTTTCTCTGAGTGACCTGGTGACTGAACTAACATGGATGACGAATAGATGAAGCCTGACAACCCCGATGTCTTTGCTTGGATCCTTGAGGAGTACGAGCGCAGTCCAAAGACACACCAAGCAAAGCTCAATGTTGAAGCTGAAGCCTATCTCATCGCAGTTGCTGGAAGGTACGTATTTGGCTCTTCTTTGAAGCACCTGAGTTGACTTGAGACTTACTGGACTACAGTGACACGACCGCCGCGACTTTGACCGGTCTTCTGTTTGAGCTAGCGACCAACCCTTCTCAAATCATCAAGCTGAGAGATGAGATTGACCAGTACTTCATGGACAGAGAACACGCAGACCATACATCACTCTCCAACCTCATTCACTTGAATGCCGTCATCGACGAGTCCCTTCGTTTGCATCCGCCTGTCCCATCAGGTTTGCAGAGAGTCACTCCTCCACAAGGACTGATGATAGGGGACACTTTCATACCAGGCAATACCATCGTCCAGGTCCCAATGCACACAATTCAGCGAGGTAGGTTATTTTCCGCTTGCCTGACTGTACAACAACAGCTAATCGTGTTGAATAAGATGAACGCAATTTCGCACGACCATCAGAGTTTATCCCGGAGCGTTGGACAACGTCACCTGAGTTGACCAAAGACAAGGGGGTCTATGCACCCTTCTCAATCGGTAATACCTAGCATGCCTCTCTTCTGAACTTATGCTGACTCTAAAAAGGCCGATATTCTTGTGTCGGAAAGCAGCTCGGCTTGATGGAAGTGAGATATGTTATAGCACATGTTATCAGGGCATTCGATGTAAGACTTGGTGAGGGTCAGACTCCAGAGGGCTTTTTGAAGGCCAAGATGGATACGTTTACACTGGCCACCCCAAACCTTCACCTTGTGTTTACACCTCGTCCTACCAAATGATGGGACTTAAAAACACACAATCTCTTAGGCACATGACGGGTAACCTTGGTTTATAGTTGAACTTGAGAGAGCAGCAGTGTTGATACCACTACTAATGACAATATATTAAATCTCCTCCTCCTTGTTTACAATAGTCGCAGCACCTCCACCCTCCGCCTCAGCAACAATCTTGGTTCTCAACACCTTTCCACTCTGATCCGTATAGATGTTACAATAAGCACTGAGCCCATGGTACGGTGCATATGTGTACTGCAGCTCATACTCCACCCCTTCATCACCGGTGATTGTCTTATTGTGACCGGTAAACTTCATGTCTTTGCTGTAGAATCCGACTTCCTTGCGACGCCTCTCGACTCCGTTATTGTTTAGGTAGATATCATACAGGAAGCCATCTTGTGTCAAGACGCGGTTCCTGTTTGTCGAGCCTGAAAAGTCGTTGACAGAGTAAAGAATGTTATTCTCCAGACGTGCAGTGAGATCTCTCTTCTCCAGCGCCTCAGCATCTTCGCCAGATTCATTGCCTCCACTGCTTCCGCCAACGACATCGCCAACATCATCTACAATGTCCTTGACAGTATCACCGAGAGTAGCGATGATTGGGTTCAGGTCGATACTCTCAAGAACATCATCGACCATGCGCAGGATATTACCAAGTCGGGCCTCAAGCTCGACCTTGGCTGTGACGTTGTAAATGCCCAGCTTGACACGATCAATACCGAGATCGACACCAGCGTTGAAATTAAGCAGGTTAAGGACTTTTGCGTCTAGGTTGATTTTGGCAGTAATGTTCTGCACCTCGATAGAGATCTCGCCCACTGAGACATTTGCGTTGAGATAGACATCGGGTTCCTCGTTAAGAGGCGCAATACCGCTACTGGTGTTTTCGGTCTCGTAGATGGCGGACTCATCATCTCCTCGACGGTTCAGACGATAGCCATAGTAGCCGTCACCTTTGGCTTTCGCAGTAACAAAGCTCGCAAACGAGGCCAAAGCCAAGGCGCCGAGTACTGAACAATGCTTCATTGAGAGATTGAGTTTGCTGCCGGTGAAAAGAGAGTGAGAATGAAGGAGACAGCTGCGTTGGCCAGAATGAGAAACCCTTGAGAAAGGGCACAAGTCATAGAATAGAAAAGAAAAAATACAAGCGACCCTCCTTCACAGAGCATCCCAACCAAGCTTGTAATAAGGACCCCTGCTCAAAGTGATGATATGTTGCTCAACCCAACCTGCTTGGACAGCCCAGATTGGACGGCGGTAAGCGAACTTGAAACAGCAGCAACTCCGGTAGGAAAGTTCCGGCCCTGATCTCCAGCCTCCGAGGTTTCATTCATGCAGGGGAAATCACAGCGAGTGGAGACAAATTGGACGTATTGGAAGCCTGAGAGGGCTGTATTTCCGACAGACCCCTGTAACTGCGTCAATGCATGAACTCAATCTCGATCGATTACCCCGTAAAGCATATCAGTAATTTCTTTCCAATTCCGAAAATCCTGTTTTTGCATCGCTTGTAACTAAAAGGATGGATAAGACCCGCGATATAACCATCCAAATAAGCTTACAGGGCCGAAGGCTTATGATGCGACGGGAGATTGCGCGGGTTCCAAGGGCTGCGTGACAAAGGTCCACTTTATGCCATGGGGTAAATTCTCAAAGACCTGGCGGTGGACGATGAGCAAGAAGAGTCTCGACATACCATAACTGTCTCGCCGTTGGAGCATCAACCGCCATCACCTTCTTCCCAAGAGATTTCTACCAAACGTCAATATGCGTCTCTCCATTTTGAAGCCTTTGGTTCTGGCTCACCTATTCAGCCTGGGCATTGCCCAAACACCAGATTCAACAGATCCAGCTACTACTGCGGAAAGCATCGCAATTCCCCCGACATCCTCGCTATCTGGGCGTGAGGATGCCACTAGCGACAGCACAGCTCAGCCGACATCTGCACCTGGAGGAGGAGGAGGAGGAGGCTCAAGCAACTCCTCACTTGGTCCTCCCGACGTTCACCTCAAAGTACCAGAACTCTCTGTTGGCCGCATTGAGCTAGACGTCGACAATCTGCATGCAGACATCAACCTCAACGCGGACATTGCGAAGCTTGTCCAGATCAATGCAGGTATTCAAGTCGGCATCGACAAAGTCAACATCACCATCGCAGATGTAGAGGCCGAACTTGAGCTCGTTGTCCGTTTGGGCCACTTGGTCGAGATTGTCAACCGCACTCTGGCTTCCCTCGATCTTAACCCGGCTCTCATCAATTTGCTCGACTCGGTCGGCGACATTGTTGAAGGCGTTATTGGCGCTGTAGACGGACTACTTGGCTCTATTACCCAGGGCGACACGAAACTCAATTTCCTCATTGACAATCTTGGAAATATTGTGCAAGAAGTCACAAAAACAGGTAGCGATGTTGTTAGCTCGATTATCGGAAACTACAAGCAGAACATGACCTTCACTGGCGATGAGAAGACTTTGCAAAATGGTCTTACGCAGCGGACATATGAGTACAAGGAGCTTAGTGCTCTTGTCAATATCGTTTTCAATAAGGCAGGCCAGATTGTTCAGGCCATGGTTGTCAAGGGCGGCGGTAGTGGATCTGGAGGTGATGATGATGATGAACCCAGTGGCAGTGCAACTGCGTCACAAACAGCAACGGCTACATCTACTCCCAGTCAAGCTACAACGGCATCTTCTGCTTAATGAAGAACTACACGGTACCACGTTCATACTCCACATTAGTAAAAGTAACAATCATTACCATACCCCTAGAAATGGTATAATATTGTTGCCATTAGTGAGCCATAAAGTATAAAGGTGACTGATGTACTGTATCCCAAACTGAACACTTAATCTATTACGAAATATTGGGGAATAGAGGATTGACCTTGGTGCTTTCAAGACAGCTATTAAAAGTCATCAACATGACCTCATTTGCATAGCCTGTGCAAGCTAGGCTACGTATACTCTCTCGAGCAATGCCGACATCTCCCTTAGATCATTCATACATCTTCACGTAAGGAACATGAACTGCCTGATACTGAGATTGATGCGGACCAAAGTGGCACTTCCAGTAGGTCCGGTAACCCGTGACTCGGCAAGGATGGATAACGGCGATCATGGCACGAAACGTTCCACGGGCCATTTGATACGTGTTATTCAAGTTATGCGTGGTATGGAACAGATACGCACATCAGCACCGAAGACGACTTGCCAACCAGTCGCCTTGAGTTTGTTCAAGGTGGCATCACGAGTTTGTGAATACTTGAGACCTCCATCCGTCAAACACTAGACTCAGTCAGCACGAATTAATTCAAGAGCGACGTATTGCAGCAGCACCTTTTCTAGGGTTCCGGCCTGGTCGAGATATTGGTTATTCGCGAGGTCAAAGTTGCCAGCCGAGGAAGACGCAAACCTGCCCTCCGAGTTCAGGGTGCGCAGTTTAGTGAAGCAGTTGCAAATGGGATCCCGGGCCTTCAGGAATTTGTTGCCCAGCGCCGTGCCGAGGGCTTTGCGGACTTGGTCGCAGACGTTGACCTTGATGTAGTTGAACTGAATAGAACGAACTTTCTTGCTTGATGTAACGATTTTGAAGCCGTTAGGTACTGTGATAGTTGTTTTGCGGCCGTTATTGGCACTACCAGTACAGATATCGGTTAAGCTGCTTTGTGCTGAGACCACCTGACCCAACAGCACCAGGGGAGCCAAAATAAATGAGAGTTTCATTGCTGAGTAGACTTGCAGGAATGAAGCACAGTCTTGATCTCACTTCTTGCGGTGAGGACCCTGTAAGAAATGAAAGTTTCTTGTCGGCAATTCGAGACTTTTCTTAAGTCTGGTCACCGCCAGCCCATGAAGCTGAACCCAGTGGCGCACGTAGCGCCTCCACTGAAATCGATAGTCTCACGATGGTACTCAGCCCTTTGGAGCGGAAGCCGCTCAAAAGAGGCTCTATTAAGCGATGCGACCTGCCAGAGATTAGGTGGCGTCAGCCCTAAAAGTCTAGCTAGACCCCTTGCAACGTCTCTGAGCATTTTGCATGATTTTCTCGCACCCATGATTATACGCGATAAATATGGCAAACGGTTGAGTAGTGAATGAAGTCTTGGCAAGGTTGAATGCCAAGGCGGCTGGTGGTCTATATAAGGTCCAGACCGCAACTACTGAGGCAGACTGGCTTTCTTTTCAGCTGTCTCTGTCCTAAGTGCATACCAAAGTTCCAAAGCCGCAGCTTGCAGTGCGTGACGCGAGGGAACCTCAAAGTGGAAACAAGTAATAAGCTTAAAAATAAACCTAGAACTGGCGGAATTGGCATACCTCCATCTTACGGTCTCCTAGATTAGGGTAAGCCTTATGTTTTATAGCTAAACCATGTTCATTGAACATCGTCGCAGGCACAGCGCAATTCCTGGACTACATTCCTGTGAACTTACTTATCCATCTCGACCAATTGAAATGGACAGTCGCATGTAATATTATCTGTATCCAATCACTGAGTTGGCATTATTTCTGCGTTATAGAAGAGAGATCATAGGACCTCTAACATATCCCTTGCCTGACAACTGGCCGGGTAGCGGAACCCCACTAGCCCGCTCATGGTCCATTTATACCTAGTCGCTTTTACGTTAAATCCTCATCTCCGTTTCTTCACGGAGGTCGAACCAAAACGCTATAAAATCTTGAGATATTTAACTATAAAATATAACTGCAATAACGAGAATACTTAATTATATTTACCCTATTAACTGATAGGCTTCTTTATACTTTTCTTCTATCTGCCTTTTGTTTATATTGTATTAGTTTATATCTCTTGCGTGGATTGCTAAAGCTAGCAAGACTCTTAAATACTTAAAGAATATTTACATACTCTATTAAAACTATCAAGCTAGACACATTTAACTATTATGTAAAGGGGTTGTGTCTGGTTCTTAGCTCTCTTTTAGTTCCTCTTTATTACTGCTGCTTATTCCTATAAGATATATGTTTTCTAGATACCTAATAACGCACTGCTGATTGCTTTACGTGAAGTTCTCTAGAGTAGGTGTATTGACATCAGGATAGCTAGTTGCGAAAAGCTTCCTAGAGCGATCCTTACAAGACTTCTGGTCGAGCGTCTTGCTGTTGAATCTTGCTGATGCATGCGAATGTCGATCTTCCTGGTTAGCGGAGACTAGATAATCCGGGCTTCGGTGTTCATCCTACAACACCGAGGCCCGCCTTGTAAATGATCCATTTTCCACTTCTAAAAACCTTCACTTGATGCAACGAGTATGATTTAGCATTACCTGCAGATATCCCCTCAAGCTAGCAATTCGGCAATCCGTTCAATAACCTGGCTGATCGTCATGTGCCTTATGTCGCGTGATCCTCTTCTTAGATTTAAGAGCAGGGAATGCTCCGTGGCTTGAACCGACTCTGGCGATATCTTTTCATTGGCGCCATATTGAATAAGGAAGGTATAGGGCTGACTCAGGGCTTATGGACCTGTAATCCCGCACTCTGAGCCTATCATGCACGCGGTTTTTATTTGGGAATGTGTGCTAGGTCCCAGTTTGTTATGACCTAGTCCTATACCATGCTAAAATGTACGCTCGGTCCCTGAGGCGAGTTACGAAAATTCATGGAAATTACAGCAAACAGCCCGGAAATATTTTGCCGTTATTATTATCCATTATACTGTCGCAAAACCTTTCAGGGGGTGAGTCAGGTACGCATGCCGATCTAAAGCTATACAACAGAGGGACTCATCTATAACTTTTGTTAATGTCTATATTGCAGGGTTCCTTTAGGGACATCACAGGCCCAAAGTCAATTATATTAAAATAGCGCAGTATTATAGATTAGTTACATTACTTCCAAGTACTACTGCATATAAGCCGGCCTTGCGAGTCAATCTTCAGACTGGAAAACTGGAGTTTGAAGCTATTATGTATTTGCTATCTGTTCTTATTAGCTTATCGGCTGGCCTTGACACAAGTTTTGAGGACCCGTGGGGCAAAATGAATGATCGGCAATAATCGACCTCGGTTGTAAGAATTTAGTTAGGGGTAGTGGCAGATCGGCGCGACCTGTTAGGTGCGTTGTGAAATCATCTGTGCACTACTCCGTAAAGCTCTGTCATTACGGAGTGCGATGACCAGACACTTCTGTCTCTAGAGATTCGCGTGCAGATCATTCTGCGGCCCTCCTGCCCTTTCAGCTACTTTGGGGACATTACTAGCTCGTAAAGCAATTCAAGCGCTGATCTTATTTAAAAGTAGCAAGACAGCCTCCAGCTTCGGACCACTCTTTCCGCGGGCCCCTTTCTATTTGCATTTTTATTAAAGACCGTCTTATACGGAGCTCTACAACTATGTATGCATCCTACCGTCAGCACGCGTGACTTCTCGCGAAGTTGGTGATCCATTAGCTACTCACCATGGTCACCGCATCCGCAGCATCAGCCATCAGCGCTATAGAGCGCACATGCTCAGTGCCTAGCCTTCTTGGTTCCCTCTTCATCATCGCCACCTTCTCTTCTTCGAAGTTGTTTCATAAGCCTATCAGCAGGATGCTTTTCTACGCCTCTTTCGGTAACATGATGAGCAATGTCGCTACACTCATGTCCAAGAGCTTTCTCGATCAACCAGATTCTGCTGGGTGCCAAACGCAAGCATTTCTAATCGAGACGCAAGTCCTGTTCTGGCCTGAACTACAGCTCACTTGCTGATCATTTGCTAGATTCATGTTTGCGGACGTCTTTTGGGCCCTAGCCATGGCCTCGAATGTATACCTCACGTTCTACCACCGATTCGACGCCATTAGGCTGCGGAAATTAGAGCCACTTCACATCGGTCTGTGTTACGGAATTCCGTTCATTATAGGCATCACCTTTATATTTGTAAGGAACAAAGATGGCCATCGTGCATATGGGAATGCGAACTTATGGTGTTGGCTTACTGTGGAGTGGGATGCTTGGCAGCTGGCCACTTATGGACTAATATGGTAACGTATTCCTTCGCCATACTCGCTGAACAGTTCTGACACGATCCTAGGCTAATTATATTTATCGCCTTTTCTATATACGTCCGAACCGGGATTACTATCTATAAATGGAAGAAGCGTTTGAATGGCTTCTCAAACTCGTACGAGCGAAACACTTCTTCCCAAGTCCCGCAGACTGCAGATCCTATGGTCATTGCCAAAACTACGAAAATCACCATTTCAACATCAGATTCTGCTCCGCCTGGCTTCGAACAATCTTTGGGATCCGCGACAAGACCGGAGCCAGTTCATTCAGCAAGTATTTACACTGGTCCTGCGCAGCCCATAGCGAATTCTTCCGAGCAAAACAACATCAGAACACAGCACTCAGATCGCAAAGGACGCAGCCCGAGTGACGAAGCAGCTATGTCATATGCCAAGACCGCCCTTCTGTTCTTCACAGCGATGCTTGTCACTTGGATTCCTGCGAGCGCGAATCGTCTGTACGTTCTTGTGGACGGCAAGTCATCCGTGCAGTTGGGATATGTCAGCGCATTCGTACTCCCTCTGCAGGGCTTCTGGAACGCCTTGATCTACTATTACACCTCTCGAGCCGCGTGTAAGCAGGTCATTGCTAGTTTGAGGACTGGGTGCCGCCCTCTGGAGGAAAGCGATGTCAATGGGTCTAGCTTTGCGGATGGAAATAACGAGCAGGGGTTTCAGCTAGGACAAGTCAAAGCTGCCAAGAGGGGACAAAGTTTCAGAGATACAGAAAGCACGACATCGCTAACAGCGAAAGTCTGAGGATTCCTTTCTATTACGAGTTTTAGGTATTTATATAGTTATTGAAATTGATTGTGTTTTTAATAGACTGCACGGGAATCTCAAGACGACGTATTCCTACCTAGCAAACCACTAACGTTTTTAATCTGCTGCCTCACACAAATCTTGAAAGGCATGCTATCTTCCAATCTCCAGACCAAATCCTGAAAACGAGAGTATTCAACTGCTATAAGTCCCTAAACTCTTAACTGACAATACTGATTTAAATAAGGTGATACTGGTGCATCAGCTGGCCAATCTGTGATCCTTCCAACTTGTTGACAAGGAACCTACGAATACGCTCTGGCAGCCACGTCACCAATTCTTTGCCGTCTCTTAACTGACACATTGCATCAAGCAAAACTCTCACATCGTAGGTCGAGCCAAATACCTCCGGAACACCGCGATCCACTCCAGTAAGCTGATAAACCGACTCCATGGCTGTACGAACAGAATATTCTGTAGTAAAGATAGTATCGCGTGTCGTCTCTGAAAATTGCCCAAGGAAGGCAAAGTTCTCTGCTCCTGCTGGAACGATGTCAGGGCGATCCCCTGCCTTTCGCGGCATAAAGAAGGATGTGACATATGGCATCATTACTGGAACGCATTTGGCCCCTTCAGCCGCAAGAACAGGGATGTCACTCTCGGGGACGCCCATGTGATACAGCCACTCCTGGGTAATCTCCTCGCCAGTGCAATCTTGCATAGGCTTCTTAACGTAGTCACCGTTCTCCTCGACGAGGAGGCCGTAGACCCAAACAACAATCTGATCCTTGGGCTGATTCTTGAAGTGAGGCTGACGATTGACAGTCCAGCTCATGATCCAGCTAGAATCCCGGACTGTGACAATACCTCCAGTTACAACCTTCCCGCTGAATGGGTCTCGCTTGCAGATCTTCTGTATGTACTCGGGAACACGTTTGTCCAGAGTCGTGACTGTTGCTGACATCCACTTTGTCGCGGGGACATTGTCACAGAAAACCTCTGGGCGGCCAAAGGAGGGGTGTTTGGCTGCGATGCGACGCCACAAGTCCCAGGCAGGAGCTGGGCCATCATGAAGCTTAGCTGGGGTATGCTGATCACCCAAACCAGAGTTCTCCGTCAACGAGCCAATAGTCATAAAGACGAGGTCGTTGGATCCGAGAGACTGACCGCCTTTCTCTCCGTCCTTGATCCAATGAATAAAAGTTGCAGTCTTCTTGTTCTCCTCAATTTTGAAGTCAACATCCTGAACCTCGGTGCTGTACTGAAACACGACACCCTGATCCTCAAGCCACTTATGCAATGGCAGCACAAGAGACTCATACTGGTTGTACTTGGTGAACTTGAGGGTCGAAAAGTCAGGCATGCCTTTAATATGGTTGACAAAGCGATGGAGGTATAACTTCATCTCCAGAGCAGAGTGCCAGGTCTGGAAAGCAAACATAGTCTGCCAGTAGAGCCAAAAGTTGCTCTTGAAGAAGTCGTCGCTGAAAACTTGGTCAATACGCTTGTTTTCAACTTCGGCTCTGGTAGCAAGGAAAAGCCTTGTCATCTCTGACTGGGCCTTTTCGGTCAGAGTGAACAACTTCCCAGTCTCTGCATCTTGACCTTGATTGATCGTCGCGCGTTGGAGAGAGAAGTTCGGATCTCTCTTGTTGAGCCAATAAAACTCATCAAGAACACTAGCTCCCTTCTCTTCAATCGAGGGAACAGAACGGAAGAGGTCCCAAAGGCACTCGAAGTGAGATTCCATCTCGCGACCACCGCGGATGACGAACCCTTTCTCGGGTTCCTTGATACCGTCCAATGCGCCGCCTGGGATCTCGAGCTCTTCAAGGATGGTGATGTTTTTCCCAGGCATTTGAGCATCACGCACGAGGAATGCGGCGGTTGAGAGACCGGCGAGGCCAGAACCCACAATCCATGCCGTTTTGTTCTCAATACCTTCAGGCTTGAGTGGTCGCGCAAAGGCTTCGTAATTGCCTTTGCTGTAATACATAGCGAATAGCGAATTGGTGTCTCAGGATCTGAAATTGAAATACAATGTAGTTTATATGTGATGATTATATCGAGAATAGCTTCCCCAACCATGGCCAACTCCTTCAATTTATCCTCATTTCCATCTTGCGTGACGCAAGCAAAGTCTCTTCCGCGATATGATCTGATTGTTGAGAAGTCCGTTGGTGATTTGTTAGTGCCCGAGGTTTTGGTAGTCCAACCCGAGCATCACATGTAATTAGCTTCTGACAGTGGGCCGACTTGACGCTTTCCAGAAGATCGTGACTACGTCACAGTAGATGGCCTTGCAAGATAAGCTAAACGAATTGTCATAATCGGGTTACCGGCAATAACCGTCATCGCTGCATGCCATTTCGCAAATCACGAGGCTTGTAGGAATTTTTTGACCTTGCACTAGCTCTATCGTTGCATGATATGACAGGTGATGGGTCACGGCACATTCCGTCCCGGTAAACTAGTCGGAACTGTTAAGTGCCGTCTCCCGATGCCAATTTTATTCAGGTACTACCAATTTTCCCATTCACTATTGTCACCCGCGAGATGCAAAAAATAGCTATTCTCATGACGAAAGACTATGTCACATTGAAATCGAAGGGAACAAGCGATGCCGGGTAATTGTCCTGCAAAAGGTCATTCCCATACATGAGACTATCTTCCCAATTGAAGTGACTCAACGCCTGATCACCTTCGTCATCCGCTAGAGGATGCAAAAAGTCTGTTGTGACGTGTATACTGACGTAAGGGAGACCATCTGTGGATAGGTCAGAACGGCCTGTGGATTGTCTGGTATTGTGAATGATCGGATCGAGAAGTTCCCATATCATAGACGGTGGAAAGTTGATCGTGGTATCAGCAGCACCGGTTTCGGGTGACTTTCCAATAACAAGCGATTGGAGTCGTTGGAGACTTTCAAGCTGATCACGGTCAGTAAACACCGGGTTCGCAGTGGAGGGACATACTTTATGTGACATGCATGGCCAAGTCTTGGATAGGCGCTGCAGCAATCTCTGTCCCTTGGCTAAATTCTGGCTGGCTTTGCAAGCAACCTTGGCATTCTTCACGAATTGGTAGAGCCAGGGAATCGTCGATGTTGCTGCAACAGCTAATCCGATGAGAGGGTTGGATATGTCAATGTTCAAATCTTCAAATATTCCAACAAGCCAGAATACCCATCCGGAGTGAAAGAGAGCTTGGTCCACGACCTGTTGCAAGAACAACCTGGACTGGCTCATACCTTTGCTTTGGCGTAAAGCCACCAAGTGAATGAAAGGGTGGTTCAACAAAGCGAGAGACGCATGCAATACCAAATGCGTGGTCAACCATGGGTTCCAATACTCGCAGCGTGCCTGTATCTCGTCTGAAGTTCTTTTGAAAGGGAAGAGGCTCCTCATCAGGTGTCTCTGGTTGAATTGAGCCTCATACTCAAAAAGAGCAAGGTTGAGCTTGGAGTACGTAGACTCTGGTAGCCATGGTATTTGAACCTCTCCACGTCTAATTTCATGAAGATGGCAGGCGACTTGACTCCATACTGCTATCATTCTCAATGCGTGGGTGTTGATTCCTAGATCATCTGATGAACCAACAGCGTTATCGAAGTCCGGTGCATTGAAATCATTGGCATCTTGAGGAATTGGTGGCGGAGGCTCGACACTGGGAGGACATTTCCGAGTCGAGTCATGGGTTGGGGCTCGTGGCATGTGAGGAAAAAAGACGGCCTCAATCATGTAAATACTCCAATAGCATCGATTCTCTTCTGGTGATTCCTGATTGGGAATTGAGTTGCTCTTCCACAGATTTCGAATACTCTCTAGCCGTGTCGCTGTGCCAATGGACATCCACGCCCTGGGTAAATCACTCACTGTAGAACTATTAGTAACATCCATCGAAAGAAACTCAATCCCACTTCCCTACGATATCTCTCAGTGCCATCATGCATAGAGCTTGAACAATCTCAACTTGGTGCCTTCCTTCAGCAGCAAGACTTTGTATGGTAGTAGCTGCTGAACGGCTATAATAGCTAGACGCCTCTGCGTGTTCGTTTCGGAAGTATTCATGAGTCGTGAACTCGAGCATAAGAGCTAAGAAGCTATAAATGAAATATTGAGGGGCATTGCTGAGTCTCCTTTCAAGGGTACCGAGGTCAAATAATGGTAAAGGTTGAAGGTGCACTTTCTGACTATAGACTTGTAGAAAGTGAGTCAATACATCTTGTGGCAGGTCGGATCTGAGATTAGAATTAGCCCAGTGTATGGTAAATGGGCAACAATAAGAGTCATACTGAGCTTCTGAGAAGGAGACAGTTTGTCGCTCATTTGGTACAGCCTGCCTAGTAGAGAAGGGATTTCCATCAGAACAGGTTGTTGAAGGAAGAGGCTGTGAAAGCCCAGAAGCCTGAGCTTCTTTATTCGTCCGTGAACTAATAGGGGACTCGTTAGTATCTATAGATATGTCGCTACGAGGTTTTTGACTTACCCAACCAATTCAGATAAGGATGCTATTTGGGCTTCAAGAAGCTGGACCCTATCTTTGGTGGATTTTCTATAACTTCGATTAGGGAAAGAATCTGTGATTGGGTAACGGAAGCATATAACTTTTGAGCTTTCTGGGCTTTGTTGGTGCCGTCCTGCGACGTGCTTCCCCTTGCTGTATACTTGCACGGAAGTTTAAGTCGCTCACAAAATGAGCAGATTGGTCGTTCTCCAGTGCACTTTGACTTTTTACGACTGGATTTATATATCAGCTGACCAGTATCTCTTCACAGCGACTCTGAACTTACCGACATGGCTCACAAGCCCGACGGCTTTGGCGAATCTGAGTTCCTGAAGTCATTGGGTTGATGAGTTGTTGATTGGGTCATGGTTGCGGGCGGAGAATGGAAGTTCCGCGGAGCTTGAATTGCCCGAAACACCACGTGAATAGTGGGCAGCAACTGGATCTTCGCCAATCATAATTATGATCTTTTCTGTTCCCATATTCAGCGAGAGACATTTCCGCTCACATGACTATCAAGACGCGCTGCTGATTGGATCAAAATTGTTAAGCAATCTCCTAGGAGATCTGAATGCCCCAACCTTAGCAGAAATAATTATCGGCATAAGTAGAACAACATGCATACTCAGATTGATAATTAAAGCTTTCACTACTGTCATTCTTCTCATCGTAAACTATCACTACCTATAGGCCTCCCATTCTACCACGATGGCAACCTCAGAAGTAATGAAGGCTGTTGTTTTCGATGGCCCATATAAGATCTCTGTGCAGGACAGACCAGTTCCCCATGGTAAGAATGCTGCGGTGGATTTTGTTTTAAACGTCACTGATTGTTGCTAGTCCAGAATGCTCAGGATATCATTGTGAAAGTCAACATGACAGCGTTGTGTGGATCGTGTGTACCGCCTGACGATAACGTCTCATATACAGAGGGCTGACAAGGTAGCAGAGAACTACACTTGTACCGGGGCGTTGAAACAACAGATCCAGATTTCATCATGGGCCACGAATTCACAGGAACTGTTGTTGCTTTGGGCTCTGAAGTCAAGACCGTAAAGATTGGAGATAAAGTTGTTTCCCCATTTACAGCTTCTTGGTAAGGCTCCCTGCAGTAATACTTTTGCGACAGGAGCTTTCATATGCAAACACTAACACTATATAGTGGCGAATGCTACTACTGTCAGAACGGTGGCTCAGCACGATGCGTTAAGAGCCAAGCCCTCGGTTCTCCCAATCTCAACGGAGCTCAAGCAGAATTTGTCCGCGTACCGTTCGCAGACGGTACTGCGATCAAGGCCCCCGAAGGTATCCATGATCAGGCCCTTATCCTAATGGCTGACATCTTCCCCACCGGTTATTTCGGCGTCCAGAGCGGCGTTGAGATGATGCCGAAGCTAGATCTGCGAGATTCAACTATTGTGGTGATTGGCTGTGGTCCGGTTGGACTATGCGCCATTGTTGCTGCGGCAGTGCTGAAGCCAAAGCATCTATTTGCTGTGGATAGTGTTCAGAGTAGACTCGATCAGGCTGCGAAGCTGGGTGCCGAGCCTCTCAACTTCATGGAGAGCAGGGATGATATGATCGAGCGAGTAAAGTCTGTCACTGATGGCAGAGGCGCTGATATAGTGGTGGAAGTGGTCGGGCTCTCGCCTGCCCTTCGAACTGCATTTGACCTGGTTCGCTCATTTGGTGCTATCAGCAGCATTGGTGTCCACAACGCAGAGGTGTGTTTCATGATACCATCCCAGCTAGGGATCATACTAAAATGCCACAGATCCCTTGGTCAGGCAGTGATGCGTACAAGTGAGCTCCAACTTCTTGCTGCAGTACATAAAGCTAACTGAGTTTAGCAAGAATGTCCGTCTACAAATGGGACGATGCCCAGTAAGAAGCATTTTTTCCGAGGCAATGGAAGTTCTTAAGCAAGAACAGGATTCTCTTAGGTATGCATACTCTTAAGTCCAGCATATACCCAGGGAGTCTGGTTTGAACTGACAGAGTACAGCTTCCTATTTGACAACATTCTTCCTCTATCAGATGCGGTTCGAGGTTACGAATTGTTCAATGAGTCCAAGGTCCAGAAAGTTGTTTTCCAAGTCTGATGTGTATGTGGCCTCAGACCCCACTACTGTCTGTTGTCTTCAGGACTCTTGTCGAGGATGTCTTAGAGAGGAAAGGTCTAAATGGTCAATTGTCTGATTCTACATTCGAGCTTTTCATGGCTTGATCTGATTGCTCAAATATTTCCCCTCACTCCTTATTGATACTACCAGTTCCAAAGAGCTCCATGTTAATTTGCTCGTGCTCAACCCCCAAACTCTGTAGCTTATCTCTTGTTGCTACCATCCAAGAAGCAGGTCCACAAATAAAAAACTGAGATTCCTTGTTTGGCAACTCCTCTTTTTTCACTTGATACACGACATCGAGGTCTAATCGTCCCTCAAAATCATAGTCTTCGCCCTTTTTATCGTTTTGTGTCACGTTCTTGAGCCAGATAAGAGTCTCGACGTTCTCGCGGCCTGCCGACACACTGCGAACCTGTGTGCGGAAAGCCATGTGCTGCGATGTTCTAGCTGTGTGGAGCCAGAGGATAGGTCTGTTTGCCATCTTCGAACGAGGCGAGCTGAGAACTGACTCAAGCATCGACACCAAAGGCGTAACACCAACGCCTGCTGATATTAAAATGAGAGGTGCATTTGCTTTTGCATCGTCTTTGATGTCAAGCCAGAATTCGCCACGAGGATATGTCATCTCAACCTCCTCTCCAGCCTGATAGTGGTTATGAAGGAGATTGGAGACAGTGCCGGGCAAAGGATCGTCTTTTCCTTCCAGAGTGAAACTCTCCTTTTTGATGCTTACTCGGTAGTAGTCACTGTGGGGTGCCTGACTCATGCTGTACTGACGACATTGAAAGACGCCTTCGAGCTCAGGTACATTGATTCGGAGGCTGACATACTGACCAGGTCGGAACGGAGGCAATGGTGTCTTTTCATCCGATGGGACCAGATAAAAGCTTGTGATGAGATCTGCCTCCTTCTCGCGCTTGGAAATCTTGAACTTCCTCCAGCCATCCCACTCGCCGGCCTCTTGATACAACTGCTTCTCGCGGTTGATAAAGATATTGGCCAGTTGGCCGTACGCAGCCGTCCAGGCATCAGCGATGTCGGCCGTGAGGGCATCGCCAAGTACTTCTCCAATGGCTTTGATAAGCTGCTCGCCAACAAGAACATATTGATCTTCCGTGACTTTAAGACTGACATGTCTCTGGGCAATACGTTCGATCGTAGACGCCAAGAATTCGGGCTTATCGATATAGGTAGCATACGCAAGCACAGCGCCAGCCAGAGCTTTGGCTTGAGCGCCATCGTGTTGGTGGCTGAGGTTGAAGATGTTGCGGAGATCAGGATAGGTACCAATCAAATTCTTGTAGAATAAGGATGTAATGGTCTCTCCATGAATCTTGAGTACAGGGGCTGTTGACTTGACAATGTCAACTTGGGAAGTTGTTAACGACATGGTAGGTAGTTAGTCGAAAAGAGGAATAAATTGATATCTGACTTTACATATCCCAGCAGAGGGACGTTGAGGAACGCTGGCATGTCATGTTAATATATACAGCGGATCAACGGCACATTTTCCATTGTTCGTGTTCGTGAAACCTGACTTTGTCATCCTTGACCCCATCGGTAAATGCCAGGATGAAGCATGCTTTCTGAAGATTCCATTTTTACAGTGGGACGTTGTGAGATTTCCGCGGATTTGCTTCAACAGAGGCCTTTCACGCAATTATCCAACAAATCAGAGTCGAGTGAATCATAAAGTTTGAGATTCGACTATCCCGAACGGGACTAGACTCCGATCGTTCGAAGAGCGCTGGACCGGAGTTGTCGGACCATTTGTCGGCTGAACTCGGTATTCAATGGTCACGTGTGATACTGCTCTGTCGCGTCAGACGCGACGCGAACTTGTCCGGGAAATTTCGGTAAACATCACCAAGCAGCGCCGAATGGGATGAAGGTTACCCTACAGAATTGCGTTTAAATGCCGTTGAACAAGTCTGATCGCATCTGGCCTTTTGAAAATGTCCATTCTAGACTGCGTTTTCTAAAGCAATATAATCTCTGAGTAAACAGATGCTGCACTTACGAAAAGTCAGTGTACACAAGACACAAGTATATTTCAACATAATGATGTTGGCGCATCGCTGTACAAATGACCAGCAGCTGTTCAATAACATAATCAGGGAAAAAGAAGAAAAGAGAAAACCTCACGCTACAAGCATTTAAATCACTTTAAAGAACAATGCGATGTCTTCTTATAATTGAAGAGGAATCTATGAATAGCTGTTGTATCTTTACTTTCTACTGGGAATTGAACTCTGGTCGCGAGTGTTTGACTCCCTGAACGTTGGGTAATTGCCGATTGTGAGCATTGATTGTCACGTGAGCGAGCTATGTGGATTGTGCACATTCACAAAATGTTCCATAAAAGCTGAGTGCTTATTAAGGATATTATTCAGCCCTTTGCAGCTTCCCAATTGGACCAAGAGCGAGGGCTAATTGACTCAAACCGTAGTATTTACTCCGTAACATCATCTCGCGACCAACAGCATGTCGCTAAGCCGGCTGACAAAGTCAAATCGCCATTATTCAGCATTGCTTGTCAGACTTAGTCAACGAACATTCAGCCATCTTACTATAGAAATATGACCTAGATCCAATCAAACTTGCTGAATTGATCCGGAACCAAATCTCGGCTATAATGCATGCCTCGTTTGGTATCTACACGACATTGTGTGAAGTCAATGACTGTTACGGCTGAAAGACCGGGGGGTCACATTGAATCTATATAGCTTGCAGCCTTTCCATAAGATCCTTTCATCGCCACTAGACAGGAATAATAACTGAACCACCTCGGTAGCTTTTCTTCTTATTAAGTGGCAACATGTTGCTCCACTCTGTCCTAGGCCTGATCGCCTTCCCAGCCGTTGCTCTGGGTTCGTCCTTCACTGCGAAGACAATTGGTCAACTTCCTCTCGGTACATGGCTGGAGAATGTTGCCGTGCGCTCCAATGGCGACCTCTTGGCTACGGAACTCTGGCCCTCAGCCACTGTCTATACTGTCGTCAACCCAGCAGACTACAAGTCTGGCCTAGAAAAGCTGGTCACGTTCCCCTCCATCACTGGGCTCCTTGGTATCGCCGAGATACCCAAGAGCCCTGGCAAGCCTGAGACTTTCATTGTTGTTGGCAGTGAAGCGACTGCTCTTAGTCACTTGACGCCAGGAACCTTTGAAGCTTGGGCTATCGAGTTTCCCAATCGACGACACCAACCCAAGGTAAAGGTCAGAAAGATCAGCGACATGACCAAGAAGAGCGCTTTTCTCAACGGTGTTGCCGCTATTCCGGGCAGGTCAGATGCTGTCCTAGTGTCTGACTCTGTCGCTGGGTTCGTCGGGCGCCTCGACCTAACTACCGGTGTCTTTGACGATTCGGCATTTGTGTTCCCCGAAATGGCCCCTATCGCAGCTGGTGCCTTCGGAATCAATGGCATCAAGGTCCGCGACAACTACCTGTACTTCACAAATTCCAACGCTGTCAAGATATACCGCATTGCAATCACGCCAGCGGGTTACCCCAAAAAGGGAGCCAAGCCTCAACTCGTCGCCGATCTTTCGAGCGGTGTTGGGTTCTTTGACGACTTCGAGTTTGATAAGAATGGCAATATCTATGCTGCCACCAATTTTGACAATTCGATCGTCTTTGTTGATATCAAAACTGGGAAATGGAAAACTGTTGTTGGTGGTATCCACGAGATGACGGTTGCGGGTTCGACGGCCGCCGTATTTAGTTATGGGGAGAAGGGTGAAAAGACTCTATATGTTTCTACATCAGGTGCACTTGCAAAGCCTGTTGATGGAACCAAGACAGAGGGCGCCAAGATTGTTGCTGTGAAAGTCCGTTCATAGAGATAACCGACTCTTTCTGCTTAAAGAAATGAAGGACAATTGGAACAGTAGTCTGGAGAGTATATCTATTATAGCAAACAGACCTTTCTGAAGCCCAGAATTCCCAATGGCTTATGGGGAACAGCACCAGCCTGGACAAATATCATTATCATGTCAACTAAGTACTACTGTCATATAACCCACCGCCATTCTATTCTACTCCTCAATCGAGATGTGCCACCGAAACTATATAAAAAATGCTAGCATTGGCACTCATACTCATGGTCGCTTTCGTAACGCTAATGCTCCGACTTACTGGCATGATCCGTGAGCTTAGATCGATAAGCCATCTCATCAGTGGCTTCAGTGCCAGTAGCAACAGAGTAGTAAACTTTCGCTGGCCGGTTAAAGACGAAGCCAGGATGGGCGATGAAGAGGCAAAAGACCGCCACAACGATCAACCTGAAAATGGTAGTGAGTGTGGGAACGGCAATTGGCAAGTAGAAATACCAGACTTACACTCCTTCCAAAGCAATGAATAAATCCTCATGCTTGATCAGTTCCCCTTGGTAACCCTCCTTCAGCTCATCGGCACGGAAGACACAACGACCCAAAGTAGCAAGGACGGCAATGGCGAGGAAGGCAAAGAACAGCTTGTCCCTGGACCCGAGATTCAGGGACTTCTTCGACCGTAGGTATCGAAACATGTAGTCACCGAACAAGAGGCTGAATGCAACCAGCATGATGACTTGTAAAATCAGGCCTGCCATAGCCACATCAACGCCCACTTGACTAGCACCGGATGAGGACGCTGAGAGACCTCCACCAGTACCTTGCAAGATCAACGAGATTACATCCATAGGTACAAATACCCAGGCAAAGTATTTGGTGGGAAATCGAGCGATACCTGGTCCGTGATGCTCAATGCTGGGCAAGAGTCAGTTAATTGGCGTTGCCTCCATAAGAACAAGCATACCTTTGGCCAAGGGTGACATAGATTGCGGCACAATAGAACACAGGGGCCTGCGTAATAGCAACTGCAGTGCGTTAGGAAGCCTTTCGTCACGGATTGGTTGGAGTACTTACTGATTTGTGTAATAAATGCACCGAAACTCCATGGATTGACCCAGAGCATAATTCTCGCTACATAGCCCGTTACTTCATGTGTGCAACTCAGGATCATGCACCACATGAACCAGGGTGTTTTCCATTTGAAGCCCAAGTAGGCATGCGCGAATGTGGCAAAGGTGAATAAAGCTGCAAAAGTAATGTTGGCAGGGAGAGAAGGCCGGTAACCATAGACGCTCATCTCGATAGGACAAAGCTGACAAGATCGTTAGCGAAGAACGGTAGCTAGCATCAAAACCTTTGTGGCTTGGGTCAGAGGTAGGTACGAGTCAGGAGAACATACGTACTTCCAAAGTACAGTTGGCCTTGGGTCCAAATATGACAAAGTTCCCCGTGTTGTTCATTGTGATGGATGCTAGCTAAAAGGCTGGGAGAGAAAGATAGGAAAAGGATTTTGGTCAGAACCAGAAGTCAGATGAATATGGAAATTCTGTTGCTATCACTTAGAGAGAGAGTTTATCAGGATTTCACATCCATTCTTATACTGCCAACACTGATCTACACAACACTGCCACTTTCGCATTCGCATGGGATCCTCGCTGAGGCCCTGACTTTAAAGTCGTGTAAGTGTTTCAAAGGAATAAGCTCATCCATGGCCTCCACCCGAAGGTGATGAAACAGGGAAGGCCGAAGGAACGAATCCCTGTGACTTCAGTTAAGGTTATGCGCCTAAATTAAAGCCAATCTCTGGGGCATTGATATGCACGGGTAATCATATTAAATTTATTCAAACGTGGCTGCGTGATAAAGCGAAAACAGTCGTGGATTTGCAGTATTGAAGGATCGACGCTCAGGGATCGAAATCCTGGATCTGTTACGACACAGCTGGACATAGAAAACGGTAAGCGTTGCGGAGCGGCCAATCTACTCCGAGTATACATGACGCTAGACAGAAACAGTCGTGGCTACCTTGCGTTGATCCAGCCTCTTGGACGCATTCTGCCTTGACCAGGAACCATGATTAGATTTCTTGATACAAGGATGATATTTTAAATACCGAAATGCCAACGTAGAGCTGGATACTCCTCGGGGCTTTGAATACCAACACCGAAAAGTTTCGGTTTGACTCTGGTGTTAAAGAATTCAGGTTATTATATTCAATATCCATCCCATAGCTCATTTTAAATCGGCGTAAACTGCTGTATAAGGGATGTTATTGCGTCACTGCATGCCGCCTGATTGCTATGTTCCTTAATAAACATGGTTAGTAGTCTCTGATACTTTAGTTTCTTTTTAGCAGTGAAACAGATCTGTAAAAGCTTTTATTTGGTTAAAGTCGAATATAACGGAGTTTGCCGTGTTATCGACAGCATGAATTTGACATCATTATGAATCTAGCCTAGCGGATCATCTGACCTGCTACAGTCATACCTATCAGTGTCCAATAATATCTACTTATCCCCGGAGTACTCCGTACTCATTCAACAGTTGCATCGACCAATGATATCAATATCTGACCGAGGTGATCCTTAACTGTACCCTAACAACGAGATACGAGGCGGCCGCTCAGGCGGCTACTGATCCTAAAGGTCAACCTTAACATCGAACAGGAACACTCTTGGCAGATACTCATCACAGGGCTGTGCATCGATCCACAAAGATGGTAGATTTGCAATGCTGATTGGCTCTCTCGCATGGCTAACTAGATATAGCTTTAGTCACCACCGCTCTCCACTTGAGGTGACCAGGGTAACCAGCTTACGAACGCGCAATGGTTCGGTCCTGTGCCGTTCTCATTGGACAACTGCATAGCCCTACCAGAAACCCTGTAACATGGTTACATGCTGAGCAATCCCCAAGCCGTCATCAAATTATGCCGATTCGACAGAGGAGAGCACAGCAGATGTGTGCCCAGAAACCAGGCGGTGAAGCAGTGAGAGAGCGATACTTATAATAGAAGTATCATTTGCCTAACTCGGATACCATTCGCCGATCAAAAATGTCTCGCGATTCGAAAACGAGAGATCCTGTATCTCCGTTTCCAACAGCAAATCAGCCATTGACACAGCCAACTGTAGACCCATCCGCACCCCAATTCTTCTCATCATTGCACCAACCCACTGCCTCTGAACCGCAGAAGTGGTTCTCTGTATCCCAGCAAAGAATAGAGGCCAAATAAGTAAGAAACCTCCTGGGGTTGGATTGCTGCTAAGGTGCATTGTCTGAGCAAAACTCGCAACCGCATCGTCTTGAGCGCGGTATCCAAGATGATATGCAACGCTGTGGCAGATCCCATCTGCCATCGTGGCTAGAACTTTGGCAGAGCTTTGCAATGCGTCTTTCTGCTCTGCAGTGCCGTGTTTGAGCGTAGCTATAATAATGGACTCGTGAATCAAAAGCCTGACGTTGCGGTAACAATTCCACACGCAAGCTATCCATGGATCTGTATACATGTCGTGCTGTAGATCATATCTACTAGATGGGACGCCGTTAGGACCAATAGATCTGTAAGACTTGTACACCCAGCTTGGCGGTAGAGTTCGCGCCCAGTCTTCGAAAAGCTTATCGATCTTGAAAAGCCTGTCGGAAATCACGGCTGGATCTGTGATATGCTGGTACTTGAGCTCAGCGCGAACCCTCGCTAAGACCTCATTGATCTCGGAAAAGCGATTGACTGGGACAAGGTCGCTGTTCTGGCTTCTTTCGGCCCAGCTCGACCATTTTGTGATTTCAAATGGTATGGGTTCCTGCAGCTGGTGGCATGTAGTGATCTAGTGCTGGGTCAGTAGCTGCAGCCTCGAGTGGGAATCCGTCTTACCATGATGCGCCGCATCTGCATGAACATCTTCAAGCCAACCACGGTCTGGAACTGAGCTGGCCCACGCATGTCGATGCATCTTGCTGCAGCGATTATGTGTTGGCTGAACGCTTTCAGTGAGCCAGTGTCTGCAAAAGCAATAGTCTAGTACAAATTAATACGTGAGATTCGAGTTTGAGATAAGCGAGACCGTACCTCAAATGTTCCCATGAGCAATACTGCACCAAGCGTTTCATCAGACACTCTCCGAGCAGGATCTTGCAGGGCAATCTGCAACTGACAAATGGCAGTATCATAAAGACGGAATGCTTCTGCTCGCCACTCTGTGACATTGCCGGCATTAGAAAGAGCAGCAAACCCCGCAGCCGCTACTGTTGTGCTGAGAAGCCCAAAAGAGGACTGTTGATTGCGTATGAGCCCTGGAAGAAATTCATGGTTGTCCCTTAGAGGCAAAGTCCCTCCTGCACTAGTCATATCAAAAACGTATTGTCGCATAAAAAAAGTAGTAGCTCTGTCCCGTGCTGGGGGTGATACGGGTCGTTTCCATGCTTCGAAGTCTGGTATCACTGCAGAGCTTGATGATGCTGTACCCAGTATACCAGCATTCTTTCTGGCAAGATCTGTGGTGGTTTGATTGCGGAAGAACATCTTACTTTCCGATGGACCTGGACACACCCATCCAGCTGTTTTGCACTGCGTGCATGATGGTGATAGTTCGTCGCACTGCTTCGCGTCAGAGATGCTAACGATAATGTCGAGTTAGCTGTCTATTTAAGTTTACCTTTATTTTCCGCTTTTTGCAGGTCGCACACCCACGGCTAGGTTTCCCGGTGTTGACCATTACTGATAAAATGCTAATGGAATTAACTAATGCTGATTCCAGCTTTCCCAAGACAGATTGGGGATACTCAGATATATAGACTATATATAAGGAATATTATTAATCCGCTGGCTTGGGGTCAGAATTTTACTAAACTATAAATATTAAATACTAAAATATAATATATTAATTTACTTATTTACTTATAGTATAATAC